TGAAACCACAACTATGTTTTGTGTTCATTCAACCTACCTCGTATTTAATATATTCCAAACATATAACAATTACGTAGTAGACGAATTGCAAATGGAAACGGTAGGAGAATAGCTAATTGTTACGTTCTTCATGAAATCCATCGTTTCAAGATAGAAGTTCGAAACACAAGACAGTGGTTAGTGATACCGTCGATCAGGTGGCAAAGGTAGCAGTTCAATCACATCCTTAACACTCTCCTCCAATCGGCCTGGGAACACCTTAACCATATTATCTCAAAGATTACAAAGGGAATCGACTCCACTGGAATTCTACGACATTTACAAAAAAGGCAAAACCTCAGGTGGCAGCCGATACAACACGTAAAATGTTTGAGTACCATTGCAGATGATGAATTCGAGGAATTCGAATCGAATGCAAGAAGTGCTGGCATAAGTACAGTAGATGTTATGACGGACCATGTAAAGTGCAAATAATGAAAACAGGCACATTCGTGCAGACTGTAGTCGTATAGTGGTAAAGTTATAAAAACTCTGGCTTCGAAATAGTTGCATACATACATACATAGATGCATTGATGGTTTGTGTTTAGCAGTTGTGCAGACCCCAGCACAATTTCTATTCTCCGAAGATTTACTTCTTTAGCTATTGCAGTTCTCTGGAGTCCTAAGGTCAGCCTGCAGTTGTCGCCCTTGTGGATAGTAGGAAGATTTGCCACCGCCCGACTAGTTTGATTCGGAGCGATGGTGACTCGTTTTATCGCTTTACTCCGAACTAGGCATCTGGACGGAAACGTTGAACTCGTTCTCAACTTGGCAGGCTCTGTGGGGGATGAATCCCCCGCTGTACATCGCAGTCCAACACCGAGAAACACCGCCCATCCATGATGAGGCGGTAAACCGTCGGCAGGTCCAAAATGGTTGCACAATGGAATTTACTTCGCTAGAGTTCCACCCAATTTTAATAAACTTTATAATTAAATGCATAATTTGCTGATTGTATTTGAGGAATTCGTAATTTTGAGCTAATTATAGTCGTTCACACTTCCCGTACGAAAAGCGCTCATATTAGTTTTAATACTTGTCCAACACGATCTGACTTTCATCTGTGTTTTTACTTTTTGTGCTGTTGCGAACATTATCTAATGAAAAAGGCAAAAGAAACTACTGTTGTATGGTTCTTTATGACCAAACCATTTTTATCGTCCACCAATTTCATGGAGATTACTAGCGGTACGCAATTGCGGTGGGTACAGTCGTAAAGTCGTCATTGTCCCGCTTTTTGCTGAATTTTACGGTAGTTATCCTATAAATTTAAATAAAATTCTCATGTCATCTAAAGTACAGCAAGCATCCAAACCTCTCGTATAATCGAACATTTTGATGACTTACTACAAAATATTGGCCTTCTTTTTTGCTTTTTTAACATGTGGGACTTTTTTAACTCTTTTTATTAGGTTGTTTTTTCCTCTGGGCAATAGGAAGCGTTTTTTGGTCACCACCTACTCGCTGCCTAAAACAAATTTGAATAGAGCAAAAAATCTCTAAAAAATGTCTTCGAAGTAGGGAAACAGAGTAGAACGCAGTTTTACTATGGACAGTACTAATAGTAAATGGTTTGAAAGGAAAGTGTGGTATGAAAAAGGTATGATAAATTGCATAGGAAAAAATGGATATAATATGAAAATAAAGATGGTCAGAGAAATGGAGAGCTACAAAAAATGGATTAATAGCAGTGATGGTTATAGAGAAGGACTTTCCTAATAAACATATCGATGGTCATCCATCGACGTTCACGCCTTAGACGTCTTTCATTCGTCTTCAATTCATCCTACAACCGTCCCAATTCAGTTAGCTGATGGGGACCGTGTGTGGACTCGAGCTTCGGCCCGATGATTCGTCTTCTCCTGATAGCTGGTTGAGTCTGGTTTTTGTTGGGATCCCAAGCCGTGGTTGTCCCAGGATGTTCTCTGAATATTTTCACTACATGCTACGGCTAGCAATCCAGAAAAATTGGAATCGACAGGAGGTTTACTGCTCAACGATTAGAATTCACTCTGGACGCCGATGATCTCTACGTATAGCGATCGATGGACAGCGATCTAATACGACGGATCCGTAAAGAGCTATGAAGTGGAGAAGAAACTTCCGTTTGACAAGTTATGAAGTCGAACAATTTTCAAGTTTTAGGATGATAATATGATTTTATAAAGTTTTTTCATTTTTGCGCCGATTTAAAGTATACTACTCCATTTAGGTTAGAAAAATAAGTGGATTCTTAACTTTTTCATCGATTCCTTCTTTGAGAAATGACGGTATTTGTCTCAATAGAGAAAGCATTCAGAGCCGTTTTCAAAAAGTGTTTCAGAACCAAACAAGTGTTTACCAACGAATTTTATCAGTTTGAACTATTGTAATGCTTTTTACTACTTTATAGAGGAAATTCCCAGTGGTTTTGTTAAATGCACAGAAGTAATGGAAGCAAGGAATGTTAGTGCACTTTCATAACATCAAAAACAAAATGAAACGAGACGAGATGGAAATAATCATATCCAGATAAGACATAGAGATAGTTATTTTAGTCTTTTGATAGTTAATCGTAATAGTGCTTTCTTGAGCAGGTAGCTGTATTATTTGGAATAATATTAACAGTGAGCAGGTAGCGATGCGATAGTGATACTCATCATCGCGAGCACGGTGTTAGTTTAACTTCGTCCCGTGCTCATCAAGGCTGTCATTTCTCTGGGGTTGGGAAATTGGTACTATACTCGTCCAGTACACGAATACTCTTTTTATTCACGTGGGAACGCCAATGCAAGGCTATTTTAAGACTGCAGGAAGAATCAACTCGACCATCATTAAACGACATACATGATGAAAGGAAAATACTCGAGTTACAGCCGAACCGAGGAGGCGCGTGTAACGCTGTGTCAGAGGTGCTCTGCAGTTCACATGGGTTCAATTCTGCGTCCAAGGCTCATCAATGCGTGCATTCCTGAGGGACTGGCCAATTGGTATCAGAGTTATCTGGAAGGACAGCGGCACTGAAACGATACACGGTTATGCTACCGCTAGTCAATATATAGGACAGATATGCAATCAATCACCTTTGACGTTGCCTAATGAAGCTGAATGCATGATACATCGCTCAGGCATTGATCAACGCCGAGAGCTTTATGCTTTTTTGATATCCGAACTCACATGTAAAAAGTCAGATCTTCAAGGATGACGCATGCGAGGAAACGAATCGTATGCGAGGATTGTTGGAATCCGCGTTGTAGATGGGAAATCGGGTCATGTGAAATAAAATAAGTGATGGGATAAAGTGTTTTTATGGAAGTAAATGTATGCTCTTTAAAAACCTCGCGATTGCTGAACAAGAAAACGACACATTCATATTCCAATGCCGAGGTTAAGAGAAAGTCGATCCTGGGAACTATTACATGATGGGATAAAATTGATACTACAAGTAATAACCGAAATTTCTGAAGAACTGGAGAGCAATTGAAAACAAAGTAAAAAGGAATGAAATGCGTAGGAAAATTGAGTTCAAAGGTGAAGAGATCGCTTTCCGGTCCACAGCTGCCTCGTACTTTAGATATTAAATCCGGAAGCCAGAGCGTCCACTTTCCAAAGTGTCCGGTTTGTGTTTGAGAATTCCCCGGTTGTCGAGTTCTTGACGTAGTACGTTAGTACGACGATGAGTGTAAACCTCTGGATGCGTTAGTATATGTCAGTTCCAATTAACAACATTTTGAATTTTCTTTTCAGGTTTTTCCATGATTATGCAAATTAATCCTATTATTACAATTAGGTAACATTTATGGCGCTTTGCACATGTGTAGTGCAGTGGCCATCAAAGGGCCCTTGCAATACACATACGATCGATCCCACGCCCCAGGCTCATCAAGGCTTCCATCCCTCTGATGCTGGCGAATCGGTATTAGACCTAACTGAGGTTATAGCAGCACTGATTTGATATACATCGGTAGGCCATCGCGAGTCATTGTATAGGCAGGATAGCCTTTATATAATATATCAATCACCCTAGCCATGCTTAATGAAGTCAAATGCATGAGGCATCCCTCAGGGATTGGTAAACTCAGAGAGCTTTATCCTTCTTATATGGCGCTTTGATTGTATTGGCGAAAGACGCATTGTGGGTAGCTGTTGGTTCTATCCCACTGCAAATTGTTTTAACTATGCCTGCCCTTTTTTTCTAGGATCGGCAAATTTTTCCCAAACTTACCCAGCAAGATAAAAACATTGAGTTGATTCATTGAGTGGTTAGTGCATCGGATTGCATAGACCAATTATGCATGCAATACCTCTACGTCACTATGAATTGAGTCGGATGCACGACGCATCCCTCAATGATTGATCGACGCTGGACGCTTTATTCCTTACTAGGAAATCTAGAGCAGAAAGAAATTGCTTAAAAATGACCACTGAGAAAATGAGAAGAGCCGGATTTCATTTCCAAGAGTTTGCTTCTGAAGTGCAATTGTTGCATTTGTTGAGTTTTTTAGAGACGAAGTAAATTCGAGTGAACTCTCACCTGCTGGTGGAGCCTGTCCAGCGCTTTCACATGGCCGCACACTCCCACCTCCGTGTTCTCGTCGTCCGTGTTGATGATGTTTGCCTGTGCCGGTCTGTTCACACAGCTCCGCCTCCGTGGTTCGCGGTTCACTGTGCAGTTTCATACGGTTACAACGTATTGCGCTGGCTTCTACACTGTTTACCACGACGTACCACCTCTACCGTTCAAATTCTGATCCGCTGGCCACCAACGGCTCCAATTTGACGTTTCTGACTGCTGTTTGGGTGAGGTGATGTGTGTGTGAAGTACTTGACGGTCACGTAAGTCACCGTGCTGATTGCGACGAGGTCAGAAAACTGAAACGCTCGGCAGCCGGTGCGTGTTCGGTGCAGCTTTCACTTCGCACTTTCGCGACGACGTTCCAGATTTCGTCCGGCTTCAACGGCTTCATCAGACGCTCCACGATGGAGAACAACAGCGCTGATGTCACCAATGTCATTAATATGACGTCAACTGACCACGAACGACGTAGGAAGAAACCGTACAAGGAGCTCACACTGCACGAAAAAGTGCAACTGATTCGACTAGCTGAAGAGAATACCGGCATGAGTCAAGCAGCCATTGCTGAACGTTATACTATCGCTAAAAGCAACGTGTGTCGAATATTACAACGAAAGAAAGAATATCTAATGGCATACGAATCAGCTGGATATGCTGGATCCAGGAAAAGGAAGCTGAAAGGACCGCAATCAGAGGTGACTGAATGCAGCGAGGCTGACCTTGTACTGGCCACCACATCCCACTACGGTGAGTAATAACTTCGACGTCTATCGATTTGTTGCCAGTCGATTCCATTTGCTGTACAGGTAACCTCTTTTCCAGCTTCTTTTTGTTAACCATAAAATTAGATCTATTTAGGAGGTTTTCGCTTCCTTTTCGATATGAGCTTCATTCTACGGGTGTTTCACTTTCCATGTTTTTTTGATACTTTGCTTTTATTCTTTTTATCTTTTACCGTCCACGTCATACTTCCATCTAGCACCAATTATTTTTTGTTTGTAAAAACTTCATACTATGTATATGTCGAGTACAAAACAATAATATACCCTGTAAATTTTGCCATTAACCTTCAGTGGAGCGATTTGAAATGACGATAGCAACAATCCCTGAAAAAATGTATCACTTCCTCGAGTTTATTCCAGTTGGTGTGACAATGTGCAGTTTTTTACCTGTTCATATTTTTCCCTTTTTTCGATCTCTTTTCTCCTGAAAATCCGATCGAGGCCACGCCTTCTCTTCCTTAGGATGAGGTGAACAACTTTTAGCCACCATTTTCACCGGCTTTCACTATACTACTTTTAATACTTTAAATTTTTTTTTCCAGAGCAACTGTCACATTTCTCAATCACTTTAAATGTCTTTTTTTGGTCTCACTTAAATCGCTTCTACTATTAGTCACTAACTAACTGACAATGCTCTCCGCAAACTTTTTTCGACCTTATCGTGTCCCAGAGCTTCTCAGCAGGGCTTCTTTATTTCCTGGAAAGATACGAAGAACATTAAAGTTTTACAAGAAAACCTTTATTTTGAATGTCCTTGTTGGAAAAGTAGCCAACTTTGAAGCTATCAGATGGAAATACTGGTGAATTTATGCTGAAGAATAGCGAAGTCGGGTGTAAATTAGATGCAACAAGGTTTTCCTCCACCCCACTGTCGCCAGAGCAACCACAATATCTTATTTCTGCAATTTTGCTCATCATGTGAAAAAGTATTTAACACAAATTTGTTCGTTAGAAACCCCGTTGATAGGCCTGTCAGTGTCTTACCTTCAAGTAACCCTATGAAAAGGAGAAAAACCATTCTTGGTAGTATCTTGGTAGTATTCCATCTCACAGAGGTTCACGTTCCTTAAAACTAAATCACTAAATAGTAATATATAGAGTAAATATTAACGAGGGATATGGAATTCTACAGTTGGTATTACTTTTACACTAATGTACATGAATGGTCCCTCTTCAAGAAAAATCGTTCGGAGTGCAGCACCATTTGTTTTTGACTGAGAACTAAGTTCTCTTTCTTTGGAGGCTCAAAAAACGTGCGCTAGGACTTTCCCAGTTCTTCGCCACAGACGTTCGATGGTTATTTGTAGATTCGAGGGCGATTTGCCACTTTGCGAAGAAGTTACTACCAGTACGGTAGCGATTCCTGGGTAGAATTGGACTGCTGAACTTTCGGACAAAAGTGTTAAACTCTTTCTTGATTTGAGAGCTCCGGCCCTCGAGGAGGATGGTGGTGAGGTATGGATGTGCAAAGGTACATTGCCGATCGTCATCATGGCCTCATCGTTTTGTGGAGGAGAATAGTTACGGAAAATTTTCACATATTGCGGACTGATAAGCCGCTAGAATAGCCAAGTCCATCGCTCCGGCTGTAATGATTGTTTCAATTGTTCATCTAAATTTTCCATAGCTTCTTGGTAGCATCAATCGCTATTGAACTTTATCATGTACAGTCCTGCTGAATAGAATTCCTTGTTGCCTCCTACTGAAGAAGTTATTTCAATTCAAGATATGTACATTCACTCCCTCCATCTTTCTATGCGTTCGCCCTTATGTTATCTTTCGCGACATACAATATGTAATTGCTGACTATTACTGCCCAAAGAGCACTTGATAAATACGATTAATTTAACCAGCCTCAAGCCTTATCTCCAGTTGCTATTTCATTCTTTTTTTCTTTAAATTTTACTTTTCCTCACTTTTACTTCCGTTTCAATCAAGTCGAGCAGTGTCAACACACTTTTGAAGACTGTGAACACCATTAGTGCACAGTTCGTTTTCTCGGCGCATCGTAGATAAATAGAAAAAACCTGACCAACTTAACTTTTTCGAAAGTCGCTCGAAGAGAAGAAATCGATACGATAACAAAAAAAATGGTTTCCTCTTTGTTTTCTGCCTTCTTACTCGCATATTCACATTTTGTTTCAAACGCTTTCGTACTTTAATGGAACACATTATAGTGCAAAGGAAAAAAATAAGGAGAAATTGAGCAGAAATGCCGAATAGAAGATTAGTGTGGCAACTCGTCCCATAAGATCCGATCAATAATGGTCAATATTACATGTTTCTAATCGTGTTAACTGCTTCTTGATTTAAACAACCACCGTCAAATTTGTTCGTAGACGGCATTAAAACTATCGAATAAGACCCGCAAGCGCAGATTGTGTACGGGAATCATCACACTTTTTTCATTAAGGATTTTAATCTTGCTGTTACTTAGCCAAATACTACCTATAGGCAGTTCGTTGAGTTAAGTGTTTCCTGGGTAGTCGACTTCAGATCGCCACCGAAGCCTGGATGGAACCTTCAAGTCAATCCGACACGGCCGATCTGGCAGCGCTCATCGTCCTTGTCTTCACGCAGCTCGTGACGAATCCGTAGTCGTTTTCCCTCCGTGTTTTTGCACCTGTTGAATTTGTGCTCTCCCAACATATAAGATCTACTAGTTAGTTGCAATAAATTCTAGCAGTCGTGGTGTTAGCTGTGTTTCTTAGCTGGCTGTTTTCATTCTAGAACAATTATAACAATTCCTTTGAAAATTGTTGAGGTAGTCCTATCATTACGGATGAGTCTCTAGTTTTACTCAGTGTTTTTCATTTCAAAGGATTTGGTGCTAACCTGCTTTCTTTCTCTCGCCACTGTGAAGTCTAAACCTTCAAGAAAATCAGTTCTACAGCATGGTGCCATTGGTGGTCGGCGATCTTTGTGGATCCGACTTCGTTATTTCGTTGCCTTCTGATTAACATCATCTACGACAATAATAATTCTTGGCATTAGTTCTTTCGTAACTCGACTAGAAGTAAGTGACGTCGAATTCCATTAGTCCGGCTTTGGTGGCTTTAATTTGAATAACTTTTGGTTGGAGGCGCTACTGCGATACACACGTGGAACCGAAATGAGTATTGACATCATGAGAGAAAAGAGCCGAACGTAGCTAAAGAGAAACTAATTTTAAAGGTTGCAAAAGAAAAAAGGATAGAGAAATAACACCTTCAAATGCCATTCACTTCACAAGAGAATGAAGTGTACCACACTCAAATACAAGATTGATAGGCCTCAATTCCACATGCACCGATTTCTACTAGCGCACTAAATGCTATGGATAAAAGAAAAAGGATAAAGCTCTCGGCGATGATCAATCCCTGATAGATGCGCCTTGCATTCGACTTCATTATGCATCGCATTGAATGCATATCTGGCCTTTAAAATGACTCGCGGTGGCCTACCGATGTATCGAGCCAGTGGTGCTATCCTCCCAGATAAGTCTGGTACCAATTTGCCAACTCCGGAGGAATGGAAGGCTTGATGAGCCATGGGCGCGAGGATCAATTTTGCGTGTGTATCACAGTGGCGTCTCCAACCACTGCGCCACACGCGCCCTTTTTTGGTACCTTCAGGTAATTAATCTACCAAAATATGTGATTTTCTTTACATAAAAATTTTTCTAAAGTAATTTACACTTTCTTTTTTTAAACGAATTCAATTCAAACCCAGCCCTCATTATCTTCGAAAACGTTTTCGAGCCACTTCGATCATCCCCATACTTCTTGCGCTTGATGGTCGGGGATTGAGCTTGGATCGACTCGGATCGTCCTTTTCATACATCACGATATCCTGCACCGTTTTTCTTCGCATGTCTGGTTTATTGCAGATTCTCTTTTATTTCAGCCAAATCACTAAATGTGACCTGTGTTTTTAGGTTTTTCATTTGTTGGCTTGAAACTAATTATAGTTTCAGACCGGTTTCTGTGTGGACGCTTTTTATTTCGTCCCCATTTAAATCGCGATCTATCAAAAAGAGCGGGGATTTTCGATCTCCAGGCATCCGATATTTCCCTGAATTCGTTGTAATTCAAATCTCATCATACTATCTCATTTTGGCTGGAGGGTATTCCAGGGTGTTGAACTGAGATCTGCATCAATGCTTCTTCATCACAGTAGGGTTCTCAATCCAAGAAGTTCAAAAGTTTTATCGGAAGCACAGTCAATGGCTCATCAACGTCTGAAATTACCGTGATTTTGTTGGTGGCATCGTAGAAGTACGGAGACAAATCTTTTTCCGAATCAAAACACTTGGCTTCTGCTTGTGATGACGACTTGGCAGAGCCTAATTACAGCTATCAAAAGGTTCCAGAGAAACAAAACCTCACTCGAATGGTAAATTACACGCTAAATAGGGAATTGCTGAGATTCGTACGGTTCTTCGCACGCACCACCAAAACGTGAAGGATGTTGTGCAGTGCTATGAGGCGCGCAACACCACATGGGCAGTTTCCGCATCAAAATCACTACAGTCCTCCACCGTCTTGTGATTTATGATAAGACGTTGATGGACTGTCGAATACTTATTTGTTTTTCTTCTGTTAAGAACAAACTGTTGTAGAGGTCGTTAGCCACTCATTTCCACCGTATCACTCAGTCATATAGAGAGAACTTACCAACAGACAAAATATCACGCTCAATCAAGACCGTACCCCACCAAGAAGTCTCTTTTTTATGCATTCTTTCTTTGATGAGCTTACACAAGGTTGATAATGATGTTTATTTTCTTCTTCTCTTTTTTATCATTATTGTTTGAATAGCACTTTTCACTTATTTTACTTTTGCGGAATAAACCGTCTTTTGATCTGTTCTTACAGTCTATGCATTAATACTCTCTTTATCTACGATGATACTATCTACTTGATGGATTAGCAACTGACCTGATAGCAATAACACCCAACATGTTTCCGGTCTTGTTGCTGTTACCCTTGTGGTTAATATCCTCCTAGGATAATGTGACCGACTACAGCGCGAATGATCTCAATGGGAGCACCGTTTGGTTTTTCTCACTCAATCATTGACCGAGTTCATTGCCCGTTACGGACGAGATTCATCACTTGCGATTGGTATTTCTTTCTTTTAATCTTGACGAAGATCGGCACTGGAACGTCTGCTATGGCTAATTGCACAATTTCAATTCGAAATTCGAGTTTTAATGGATGAAATCGAATCAGCCAAAAATTGATGATTCTGTATTACTGCTTGCATTTTTTAAAATATTACAAAGTGCAGTTAGCATGGTTACAGAAGTATTCGGTCGACGGAAAATATGGATGTTAACTGTCCGAAATGCTAGGAAAGTCCGTAAAAGCAAGACAATTCTGTTCGTTCACATTCTGTTCACTCACAAATGAAAACGAATATGCTGTTATAGTGATGAAATACTTGTACTTATTTTTAGAAAAAACGCTTGAGTGAATTCAATTAACTTCTAAAACAAAGAGATCGAATGAGATTTCGTCGTCAAGTTGAATGAACAAAAAATTACTGTGGCTTCTCGTTTAGGCAACGAAACACTGCGAGCTCATATGTACAAACAGCATCAGATCTCACGAATGTTCATGTGCCGATGTTGTAATTGGGCATTTCCGGACAAGACAAGCCTTCATATGCACATTCAGGTAAGGTGCTACTACAGCGAGACGAATACACTTGTGCAGGGTGTCGCGAAATCGGTGACGACGTCTGGTCGGCGCCTAGTCGTGCCATTAGCCAGAGACGGTAGAGAAACTGTGTCTGCAATGGTTGTTGTTGTTGTTGCTGCAGTTGTGCATTTTTGAATTTCACTACCATCCAAGGAACCGGTAGATGCTCCCAAATGACATCACCATTGCCGAATGGAGATCATCGCTTACGTTTTAGAGGGTTTAATTGAGGTTCTAATGCTTGGATAATTAGAATTTTTAGGCCAGAGAAGAAGGTAAATCCATAACGGTTCCGGTAATTGGAAAAGGACTTACTCCGGATGGTGTCGACTCATCGTATGCCTCTGCTCTCCATCCTGTCAACAATAACACTTTGTCACAAATGCAGAACACTGGAGGTGATTATGTTTTTTATTACTTTGATGATCTGGAAATCTTTGTAACTCCTAGAAAAACCTAATTTACTACAACCACAATGTTGCTGAGATATTTGCAAAACTGTGGACCGCAGGTGTCTATGGTGGGGAACGAACGCGCTATTATCCTTTCCGGGGAGTAACGCGTTCACCACCACACCATGCGGGTCCTTCGTTTCGCCTGTCTCTCAGCTATTTCTATCGATCTTTTTGCCACAGCAATCACCCGTCAGCGGGGTTGATCTGGGGAGCGCAAATCGGCATAGAATCCAGTTAAGCTATGGCTGCAGTTGAAATCACAACGTTTAACGTTTTGTTTTCTGCCTTCTATAATTTTCATTATAGAAGAAAATATGAATAATATGGCGAAACGAAGGACCCGCATGGTGTGGTGGTGAACGCGTTACTTCCCGGAAAGGATAATAGCGCGTTCGTTCCCCACCATAGACACCTGCGGTCCAGAGTTTTGCAAATACCTCAGCAACATTGTGGTTGTATTTCGCTTAGTAACCTGCCATGAAAATTATAGAAGGCAGAAAACAAAACGTTAAACTAGTTTACTACTCCAATGGTCCGTTTTTAAGAGGACTAGAACTTCATTCTCTATTCGTTTCTTTCCTTTCTGTCGTCTTCCATTGTTTTTTTTTCTTGACAATTCTGACATGGGAAAGTAGCATTTTATTAATTACTAAAACCCCAAGACCGCCTTTGTTTTATTTTGCCATTAATTAATAATTTACGGGTTTTTCTCGACAAACGAACACGAAATGGTTATTAAAGAATTTATTCATACACAGTAGCTGACGTTTCGGTGATTTCGTCTTTTTCAGAGCATGGAAAAGTCCAATTCACATGCAATCTACTCAGCCAAACACTTTCATAACCTCAGCAGACAAAACGTAAAGCATAAATTTTCACTAACAAAAAAGGAGCTTTTTTTGAGCACTTGTTCTTTGCAATTCTTCCAGTTATTTCCTGTAGACCAGCCACATGGGCGAGGAATGTGCCTGGCTCAGGTGAAAAATTATCCTGTTGTATGGCGCACGGCCACACGTGGCCACAAAACACTCCCTGCGGTTTCACTTTTTTAACCTGAGCCAGGCATATTTTTTGGCCTTATAACATTATATGTCGCTGGTCTACACGGTGTAACTGGAAGACTTGCAAATAACAAAGCGGTCAGCGCTTAAAAGAAGCTGTTTATTATACGAGTGAAAAATTTATGTACTAAGTTTTCTCCGGTGAAGTTAAGAAGAAAATGTTTAGATGAGTAGATTTCATGCCAATTTGACCTTTATAGGCACTGAAGGAGACAAAGCCGCTGAGATGTTAACTATTGTGTATTAATAAATGCTGTAATAACAACAATGTTAACTTTTTTATATGCTTCCTACTACAATTTTTATGGCAGGGTATTATGCGAAATGAAACCATAATGGTCCTGAGAAATTCACAAAGCTCCGGACCGAAGCTGTCTGCGGTGGGAACGAGCGCCTTTTTACCCTTTCCGGTGCCTAATGCTTTCACCACCACACCGTGCCGGTCCTTCATTTCGCCTGTCTCTTAGCTAGTCTCACCACCATTATAGTTGTAATAACAACGTCATGTTTGTTGGTCAAGAAAAACAGAGAATTACTAAAACATTTGCACTTGCCACTATGCTATTTCAGCTGACCACTGATCTTATGCGGGTTAGTCGCGAAACAACGTAATGCGTTCCCATGTGGCGGATATCACCCCTATAGTTCCGTTGATCGTCGAGTGACTCGAGCAGGGGCCAGTAAATCTTCCGTTTTCCCTGTCGCATGCTAGAGTAGCCTAGTGGGTTCTGCTCGCTCTAAGGACTCGTCGAGCATCATATATTTTTTCAAGACTTTTCGTGAAGAACTCTGAGCATCGAGTCGGTGGTTTTACTGCAATGCGTTTAACATGCCGAGAAATCCAGTCACTAACGGCTCTTGTCCATCGGTTGTGCACCTTATCTTCGACTGTTTGGCGTACAGAACGGCATCTTTCATTTTTGATCGTTGTCGCAGATCGGAGCTTCGGATCCCATCCCTTACTTGTGTGGAACGGGATACTTCTAGCATCGTCCTTTCGACTGCGCGTTCGATAACGCTGAGTGATCTTTCATCCTGCTTACGTAGCGACCAGGTTTCTGACGCATACGTTATGGTAGGAAGTACCGTTGAGTCGAATAGGTGGGCACGGAGTTGGGTGTTTTTTGTCCTCTTCACTACATCCTCGATGCTCTTGAAAACTCCCTAATCCGCTCGTTTCCTTCTGCTCAGCTCTGGAACTAAGTCGTTCATCATATTGATTTCCCGACCTAGGTAGATTTAACTAGAGCATTCGGGGATATTATTTCCATTGAGCGTGAAAGGGGCTAAAAAGCTAAAAAAAAGTAGCGGAAATAGGAATAGTTAATCGTGAGCCACAAACGACCTTATACATTCCTGAAATGCAGGTGGATCTAAGGGATGGACTCCCTGCTTCTGCTTAGCTAATTTCACACATACTCTCCGTATTTTCGAGGACGTATTCCTACATATGTGCGTGTCCTGGTTTATGAAGATTCTATTCTACAAGCCAATTCATCCAAAACCCTGCTACCAAGTGACTGGAAGCTACATAGGAGGCGATCATGAGTCGCCTCCAACAAATAAGCTTACCACTCTGCTCTGAGAGATAATGGCAAGCTACACTTGAGTATAACCAATCCGCACGTTCTGAGCCCAACAAGCTATACGTGCTTATCGAACGCTAAATACAGCAAGGTAAGCGGGCCTCACTTCACTGACTACGAAAGAGTTGAGTTTGAGTTGAGTAGTGCTCAGTAGAACGAGTACGGAGAAGCTGCTAAAATTTAAGTGCCATTCTAGACTGCACAAATCGCAATGAACCAAGCTGATTATCTCCTACTGCAGTGCGCGCTCACTTGCATCTGAGACCTCTAAAGAGGATTCGATCATGAAGGCAGGAAGTACAGGGTGCAACGTCATCGGACTGGCTGAGACGGGTAGACGCCACCCGCTCAACACCGACAAGAGAAGAACTGCTTCTAGGAATGTGCGACAATAGAGGAGTCGGCAGCGTCGGCGCTCTTGTCAAGACGAGTTCGGATATGAACATCGATTCATTCGAATAACTGAAAGATCAATTTTTACTGTTGAAAAAATGTGGATCAATACCAGCTTTGACAATTTTCGTTGTGTGCGCACCGACATCGAGCTATCAAGAAGGCGAAGTGCAAACGTTTCACATGGACTTGGAGAAGTTGTGCAGAGAAGTTCATACGCCTTCACGGTCATCACTGGAGATTTTAACGTTAAGATTAGACCCAGGAGAACGTCTAGAAAGCATTGCGTTAGAAACGACGGGTTGAAGTGGAAATAGCAGAGGGAACGGCTGTCTGAGTTCGTCACCACGACCAAGAGCATTCGCGGTAACTCGCAATTCTGAAACCTCTACCTTCAATGCTGGACGTGGGAGTCTACCAATGGGGAGTAACATAACGAAGTAGGCCACATCGTATTAAACCGAAGGTTTCCTTGGCCGATGTTGCTAGTGTTCCAAAACCCTACACGGGATCAGACCTTCGCCTATTTCATGCAAGATTTCATTTTTCAAGGAAAGAAGGAAAGTCTGTAAAATTCAGGAAACGAAATCCCAGAATCACCATAAACTGGGATTTATTCAGTCCATTGGTCGGGTGCTGGGAACATGCTGTTCTTTGTAATATCGGTAAGGAATACAATCGACTAATCCAATATCTTCACGTTAGAGGTATGAAAGATTTGGTCCGCACAAGATAGGACTTGAACACCTGAACAACCTTCCGGTAGTCCTGATCAACACAGTGGCTCGGCTCTGTACACGTTACATGTTAGAGTGAAAAATTCATATTCAATTCAAGACCAATAAGGCTGTCTTAGTGTTTCAAAAGGGTGATTACCATGATATCGGCAACTATCTGTGGTCTACAAACCTCTCACGCGATTCCTAAACAGGATTGACAGAACCCTGAAAGAAGGACAGTCATGTGCACAAGCTGAGTTTCGAAAAGGATTCAGTATAGTGAACTACACACTATAATAAGACTTAATGATGTACTGTGAGAGTGAAAGAGATCGCTTGGTCCTATTTTCATAGATGTAGACAAAGCCTTTATTCAAATGAGATAGAAGCAGTCACGGAAGCTCTGGACAGCCAAAGCGTCTTTGCTGAGTACATAAAGATTCTTCGTGAACTGCACAAAAATTTCACAACCAAAATATCACCATTTCGTAAATATACTAAATGCGCGCTAAAAACAGGTTACATTTTCATTTAGCTTTATATTTAGAACGCGAAAGCTTTTCGCCAAAACTACTTACTGCCACTTTCGAGAACGTCATGCGAACACTATGATATGATATGAATGATACAACATGGAAGTGAAAATCGATTGTCGGCAATTACAACATCTTTGCTCTGCTGACGCCGTCGTTCTTGTTACACCAAACATTAGCCAAGCGGAACTAGTGCTGGACGACTTTGATAAAGCCTATGGAAAGGTTGGACTTCGACTAAATCTCACAGAAACGATGTTCATGACGGCGATTAGTTGCGTATGCCACATTCACGCTCAACGAAATGAATACTCCCCAGTGATCCACTTACGTCCATCTAGATCGGGAAATCAACACACAGCGAAATCGAGTCAAATATACTGCAGGAAGACCACCAACCCGATGGTCAGAGTTCTTCACGACAACCCTAGGAGAAAGGTATAATGCTCAACGAGTCCATAGAGCGAGAGGACCCACTGGGCTACTCTCGCGCGTGACAAAGCGAAATGGATGGTTCACTCGCACCCGCTCAAGTTACTTGATGATCAATGAGACAACAGATGATGCAAGTGATTTGAACTGATTGATTTGGTTCCAAACACACCACCCATTTTTCAAGTGGATTTCCTAAAGGTTGCGCTTTAATGCTGTTGAAATCCATTCTTACCATATGAAAAACACACGGGAAAAATCTTGGGCTAGATAATTTTGCCATTTTTTCCAGGTGACTGTGTCACCGGTCTAGCTAGGAGATGTAGTTCCAAATGCGGTCATCACTATCTGTAAATTGTTTCAGTAATAAGCCAAACTTCTGGATTATCGTTTTTCTCCGGGGCACCTCCTCCGTTAACCTCAACAGCAGAAGATATGAGCCGTTTACGCGATCGACTCGTGCTAAACTCCCTGATGGCCCAACCCGGATTTGGGCTGGCCGCTGCTTGGTTGAACAATTTGCCGAAACCGATTCCAAGTGAGTGGTCCGTAGTAGCCTTAACACTTTGTTTCAGTTACTCATATTAATAACAAGGTCGAGGTGTTACCTTGGTATGATGCATATTATCAGATATAGCATAAATTCTAGAGTTTTTCTAAAGTATTTCAATATAATTCGCTACTTTTAGCTACAAAACCGCTAGTCGACCTTATCAAAAAGGATTCCAGAGAAGACGATGACTGCGAAGTGAACGTCGAGAATGATTCTCATGCTGACGAGGAAAAGGTCCATATTTATCGATCTACTAATTGTTTAAGTGTCCTGTTTAAAATTTCCCTCGTTTGCTGCGACCGATTACTAGACGCGCCCTGATTGGCCAGATTTACAAATTTGTGATTGGTTAACGCTACAATTTATTTCTAGTTGTTGTTAGTTACGTTTACCGAATTTGTTTAACTGACACTATCTATACTCTCTCAGCAATCGCGAGGTTGCTAAACAGCATACGTTTGGTTGTTTAACAGCATACGTTTACTTCCATACAATAACACATACAACACAATGGCAGCTGACGTTTCGGCAGAACCACCTTCTTCAGAGCCAAGAAGGGTACACTAATACGCAACTTACTAGCTCGAGCGCTTCAATAGCACAAACAGAAAGATGAAAATCTGCAGGATAATTACAGGAGGAGATGGACAAATGCTTTGAATTACTGAACGAGCAGTCAGAGTACATCAAGTTCACCAGGGAGAAACCGAAAGACGACTGGCTCCCGTTTCTAAATGTTGAAATTAACTTATCAAGTAACGGCTATATGACAAATTGCTACCGAAAACCAAGTAACAAAAACAGCCTGGTTCATTCCCTTTCTTCCCACCCTTCACACACAAAGAGGGCGATTGTGAGAAACATGTTTCGAACAGCCACCTCTGTGTGCACTACCAGGGAACTAAAGGAAGAATCGCGCGACTTGGCCTGGCAAATAGCTACTTCAAATGGCTACGAAATAGTAACCCCACGAGATAAGTTTAGAAGGAAAGCGACGCTCTAAAACGAAGGGTTTAGCCGAAACCAAATTTCTTTTGTCTTGCTTTTTATTAGCGATGAAATAAATACAGCAATAAAACGATTCCTAAAAAGGGCAGATCAAGAGAAATCGTAGCGATAGTTGAAAAACCACCGAATACTCTTCGTCGCTAGTTAATCCTTAACCGCCTATACGACCGTCCTTGAGAAGCACAGAATTGCGTAATCTACCCTTATGGCAGGGACGGTGACTGCATGAGCTCAGGTACGATTACCTGATCTCTTGTGGTACTTGCGGAGACGAATATATTGTCGAAATTGGCAGGTCTTTGTGTATCCGTATAAAAGAACACCTAGATGGCAAACGAAAAGCAAGACAAGGCACGACACTAAGGACGCGTAGGATACAAAAGCACAGCGGAGACAATTTTGTTGTAAAAGTCACTGTCCTTGCATAGGAGGCTAAAACACCAGCACGAAAACTTCTTGAGGCTTTTTGGATAAATGCCAAATTCCTACAATGAGTGGGAGGGAGGAATGCCCTGAGATCACGCGTGATCTCGTCCAGTACCTTTGTATCGATCGTTGATGGAGGGAGGTGCATTCGTCAACCATGTGCGACTCTGAGTGACTGTTCCTCCTCGGTGGGAGACAGGTGAAATAAGCGGTGGTTTTTTCGAGAAGCCATAGATCTTGTAATTATCCTGCAGATTTTGATCATTCTGTTTGTGCTATTGAAGCGCTCGAGCTAGTAAGTTGCGTATTAGTGTACCCTTCCTGGCTCTGAAGAAGGCGATTCTGCCGAAACATCAGCTGCGACTGTGTTGTACGTGTATTATTGTATGGAAGTAAACGTATGCTGTTAAACAACCAAATGTATGCTGTTTAACAACATCGCGATTGCTTAGAGAGAAAACGACAAGTTCATAATCCAATGCCGAGGTTGATAGAAAGTCAATCCTGGGTGCTATCTGTACTATTTTTTATTAGACCCAAATACTTGTCATGTTAATATTTAGCTGACGTACCAACAGGGCTCTTTTTGGTAGATTCTTACGATTGCTTTTCAGTTAAATGTGTCCAGTAGCGAGTCAGACGAAAACAAATCGCTTATAATCAAACGTGGCGAGAGGTATTTGCTTATACGAAGACGTACCATTCTGTTTCATGTCCTTTTTAAAAAACAAATCAACTTATTTGTTTTTAGCCCATGTGAGAATGCATCAGCAACCAGTTCTGACGTATGCTCGCCGGCTCACACCAGTTCCGCACATTCGCCAGTGAACCTCTTCAAAAAAGGAGACACTCCGAGTGCTTTTCATCACCTAGTGAGGACATTCTTCTTGTGTCTTGATGTTGCTAGGACATCTTAGACGAGAAAAATGACGATTCCTGTTCAGAATGTGGATTCTCGCTTCATTGTGTCCCCATTACATGTTTCACCGTCAGAAACGCATTCATCAGTTAGTCCAAACGGTTGCTATGATTGTGCCGTCTATAAAACAAAACTCACTATGGCCGACAACAAGTGCAGATATCTTGAAAGTCGTGGGAACACGTTGCAGGTGATTCTCCTAGTCTAGTCATTATAGCAACATTCTTGTAGCGATAACAGTCCGCTAGAAAATCTATTACAACCATGGTGCCGAGATATTTGCATCATAGTGGCCGTATTTCACATCATATCCTTGAAAAATAGTAATAGGCAATAAATAAAAAGTTGATTGTGACCTTATGAACTGATCTTATTGAGACAACGCGACGTTGGTATAAGTTGTCCTCGTTGTTGTTGTTGTTGTTGTTGTTGTTGTTGTTGTTGTTGTTGTCGTTGTTGTTGTTGTTGTTATCGTTGTTTTTGGATATTCCACTCGTAATCCCACTCTTAGGGCGCATGTGGCGCAGTGATTAAAGGCGTCACTGCGACACACACATGAAATCGATCCCAGCGCCCATGGTTCACCAAACCTTCCGTCCATCCAGGATACGGCAAATTGGTACCAGACTTGTCTGGGCGGATAGCAGCACTGGCTCGATACATCGGTAGGCCACTGCGAGTCATTGTAAAGGCCAGATATGCATTCAATCACCTCCAACGATACTTAATGAAGTCGAATGCATGGCGCGTCCCTCAAGGATTGGTCAACGCCGAGAGCTTTTAGAGCTTTTTAATCCCGCTGGTAACAGCACGGCTCTGAGGAAGGCGAAATTACCGAGAGTTCAACCATCGGCCAACAACAACAGTAACAGCAACAACAACAGCAAAACAACAATGACAACAACAGCGACAACTTATACCAATATGGCATCAGCTCAACAAGATCACTTCATAAGAAAATGTAAATAAATATATCGGTTATTTATGCCGCGGTTTATGAAATGTCGTTCTTTTGAGCTTTTAATTGTGATCTGTTAAAACTGTTTGGGATTCAATACAAAGCTACTTACCGCATCCGTTAGAACATCTTAGGCCTACTAGTGTTAATATTACTACATCTCTCAACTAGTGCAACACTTTTCCATCGATCATTTGCAGAAGTTTCTACTAACTTTAGTACTTTTTTCAACAAAATGGAATCAAGATATCAAAAATTATGATGAACTTCCGCCTGTACCAAACTGATCCTGTAACATAATGGATGTTTAATACCCACCATAGAATATACCATTTTGGTCGTTCTGTGGGTTAATTTCTGATTAGTGACATATGAGTCCAAGTGTGAGCCTCAAAATTCCGTATTGACATCATCTCCACACACCATCGGTTCCAGACGGAAGCGGTTCGAGCGCAAGCGCAGATTTCGTCCGTAGAGGCCGCGTTACGAGCCCTTGAAGCGGAGACTCGTACATTACGAGAGCAGACAGAGGTGCTTCATAGAAGGCTACTCGATTGTCAGGTATATTTCAACTGAGTGTGGATGAAGCGTGGAAGAAGAAATCGTTTTCATTCTACTCTTTATTTTCTGACAGAAGTAAAAATATCTGTTCACTAAATTGCTCATTCAGACTTTCGATTCTCGATGTTTAAGGCTAGTCCAGTTTCTCTTTTCTCCCATTAGTTTTTCCATTAGCTTGCGATTTTAAGTAATTCGTACTTCGATCATTAGCTTACAGCAGTTCACAGCTGGTAAACACTGACATCTCGTCAATTCTTTGGTCGTTCAGGAGCAGGCGGTTCGCTTCATGCAATGTGACCGAGCATCAAATCCACAAGCTGTGGCGTTATTCATGAACCATCTTATACAGTCGACAATAATTCGCTAAACCTTTGTTGATCAGCCTGGAAAGAACGGCGTAGTCGTTTTTAGTTCTCGATTTGCTCCTGTTCATACCAGGTTTTCAACAATCCTCAATGAAGTGCAGAAATTTATCTTCTTTTAACACAAAATACTTCATGCCAAGCTGGGAATTTGTTTAATAATGAGACTAAACTTCGTAAGTGTTTTTCACTGTTCTCCTTCATATTATTTATTTTTTATCATTATCTTATCCGAGTTCTCGATATACCAGAGATTATAGTATTGCCAGATGTCACTTTATTCGACGTCATTACTGACTGAGAATCTGTGGCTACACCATAGTCCATTGGATTCGCGACATTAATTTTAATGATTTTATAATGACAAGATTCTAATGAGACATATTGACTATGTGGCAGCAATCTTATAGAAATAGCGTACACTGTACTAGATAACCTCTATACGATGCCGTAGATACCGCCCACTCACCCACTATTGGTCTCTTGCTTTAGAGAGGCCCCGCCCGTTTAACCAGGACCGCCACAGACATAGTAAGCGAGATAGAAAGGATAGTCGGTGAATAAGTCAACAACTAAATTTATATACTCAAATTCACATAGCACTTTGCAAGTTTTGCTATAAGGTGACATCGGCGCCTCTCGACCATCTTCCATTATGGCAACTGTTTAATCCTGCTTAATTTTACAAAATGCGACGCATCATTAAGAAATTTCAAAGTTGTAATGCGAGTTGTAAATATCGTCTTCATTCGCTCGAGTGCAATCGTTCAATGTCTTTCCTCCCTCTCCTGTGATTTTAAAGTTCGCTGTTCTATTTGTAACCTATTCTTCTTCCTCTTCTTTGTTCTTTTCTCATTTTATTTTTTCCGATCATTCAGTGTGATATTCGATTAAATCCGTTTCGTTTTATGGATTTTCGTAATTCGTACAGATGTTATTCGAGTCTCATCTGAGTTACGTATGATCCTTGGGTTATACAGTTATTCTTTACAAGCGTTTATATTCATACACGTGATAATAAAACGTGTATTTTAAGATCCAACCGATTTAAAAGTGCAATTCCACTTTGTACTTATTGTATTACTGTCTTTTCTTCTTACCAGTCAAAGGACCTATGTGTCAATATTTTTATGTCTTTCAAAGTATTGACTAATAAATATTTTACAAGTGATTCATTGTTCTCTCGATGAGCTGTTTATTTATAAATAAGCCGACGTTTCGGCGGAGTTCGCCTTTATCAGGCCTGGAAAGGTCAAATTCATGGCAATCTACCCAACCGAACATCTCCATAACCAACTAGAGAAAAGATTAAACCAACATTTCAATCACATTGAACACACAGTGGCTTCTTCGCACACTCACCGCTTTCTATAAGAATCCCACGTGAAGCGCGCATGTTTATAAATATTTTATTATACAATGGCTCGTAGACGTAACAGGTTAGTGCTTTTACCCTTTTAAACAATGCTGACACCAATTCGCTGAACACGGACGGATGAAGGATGTGATCAGTCCTGCCGCCGGACTGAAACAAGATCTACATGAATTAAAAACACTTCGAAGTATCTTTTTACTTCTGTTTAGCAAACACGAGATGCTATTTTATTTCTTTATTTACGCACAAGCTGACGTTTCGGCGGGTTTCGCCTTTCTCAGAGCCTTGCTGTCAACTTGACCCTTCCAGGCTCTGAGGAAGGCGAAATCCGCCGAAACGTCAGTTTGTGCGTATATAAAGAAATAAAATAGCATCTCGTGTTTGCTAAACAGAAGTAGAAAGATATATTCAATCAATGCCGAGGTTAATAGAAAGTCGGACTTGGGAGTTACTTCTAAGTATTACAATAAGCGTACAGGTGATGGAATGAAGGTTGCATCGTATATTGTGGAAGGTCTGTTTTGTTCGCTATAAAAGGCTAATGGATGCGTTGGAGCTTACTGGAGCTACGGCAGACCTCAAAATTGGATAGTACAAATTGATGTATTCAAAGGCAGTTTAACAACTAAATTAAAATAAATGCGTATTTTCTATTTTATCTTTTTTTAAATGACCCGCCATCACATCTATTGTATGAATCCAAGCATTTCATGCATTTTCGATTCTTTGCATCCATCGTCTACGAAGGTCTTCGAACATTTCGCGTATTCCTTCGGCTGCTTTCTGAGGATTTTGTCATCTTTAAGAATGTCGTAGAATGACAGTGGAGTCAATTCTTCTCGTAACCTGAGAAATAGCCAGGCTAAAGCGTTTTCGCGTTGATTCGATGAGAGCATTGGCGCGTGGATCGAACTATAGCATTTGTTTGCCAATCCACAGTATTGCTAACCGCTGCGCTATCCCCGCCTGTATATATATATTTATATTTTATATTTTTATAAACGCTTATGTATATGTATTACGTATATCTAACATGCAAATATTTTATATTTTATCACATATTTTATATTTATATATTTTGCAGATATATTTCTGTACAAAGGATAAAAGGATAAAGCTCTCAGCGTTGTTTAATCCCTGAAGGATTCGCCGTGCATTCGACTTCCTTGAGCAACTTTGGAGGTGACTGAATGCATATCTGGCCTTTACAATGACTCCAGGTCAACTATCGATTTATCGAGTCAGTGCTGCTATCTCCCCAGTTATGCTTCATACCAGTTTGCAGGCCCGGAGGGATAAAATGCTTGGTGAGCCACGGGCGAGGGGATAGGTCCCAAGTGTGGGTGTGTGTGTGTGTATCGCAGAGAGCCTCCGATCACTGCGCCACACGCGCCAGCAATTAACACATGTTTTCTGTGCTTACGAGGTGTATTCATGCATGCGTTCGTGTGGGTGTTCTCGTTTATGCGGATTGCATTCTACGAGTAAATTCGGCAAAAGCCTGCAATCAAGCGACAGGATGGGAGGCGGTTAGGAGGCACTTCATAAACTGCCCCGTCTACTCACGGTAAGGCTGGCAAATAGCCCGTGAGTATATCTAGCCCTAACGTTCAGACCCACAGCAACCCATACGTGGTTATCAAAAGCTAAGCACAATAAAAAAAAACGGGCCTCATTCCCTTGACTCCGAAATAACACTCAGAGTTGGGTAGGACGAGTACGGAGAGACTGCTAAAATCTCAGGGCCATTCTAAGCTGCCCAAATCGCGAAGGACTAAGGTGATGATCTGTACCTACAATACACGCACACTTGCATGTGATTCCTCAGTAGAAGACTTGATCATGCACTACAGCGCCATCCGCTCCGCCGAGACGAGACGACGCCACCCATTCAACGCTGTCTATGACAGCGAAGAAGAACCCTTCCTCGGAACATGCAACAGTAGAGGAGTAGAGGAGTCGGCGGCGTCGGCGTTCCCGTCAACATGAGTTTGTCCATGAACATCGATTCATTCGAACAATTAACTACCTGAATGGGGCGTTTCAAATTGAAGAGATGTGGATCAATACTGGCTTTCACAATCTTCTTCGTTTTCGCGCCGACATCAAATCATGACAACAAAGAAGTCGAAGGTTTCCATATGGACTTGGAGGAGTTTTACAAAGAAGATCATACATCCTTCAAGGTGATCATTAAAGGTTTTAACGCCGAGATTGGACGTCTGAAGAGTGTCACATTGGGACCCACGGATTACAGTGGAAAGACAGTTTGAGCGGCTGTTTGAGTTTATCGTGAGGACCAAGACCATTCACAGCAACCCGCACTTCCAGAATCTTCTCCCTCTACAGTGGATGTGGAACTCTCCCAATGGAGAGTACCATAACGAAATATACCACAACGAAGTAAACCAATGATTTTGCCTTGTCCAATGCTGTTGTTCCAAAATTTTACACAGGACCAGCCCGTCGACCGCTTCGTGCAAGATTTCCTTTCTTGCGGAAAGGAGAAAGGGCGCGTGTGATGCAGTAGTCCGAGGCACCATGTAACACAAACGTGGAATTGATTCCTGCGACCATGGCCTACCAAGCCTTCCATACCTCCCGGATCGGCAAATTAGTACCAGTCATGCCTGGGAGGATAGCAGCACTGACTCGATGCATCGGTACTCCACCGCGAAACATTGTAAGGCCAGATATGCATTCAATCACCTCCAAACGATGTTTGAAGTTCAATGTTTTTCATCAATAAGCAGACACGAGGTTGTTAATATAGAATTTATTAGAACACAATTGCTGACGTTTCGGCGGTTGAAATGAACCGCAAGGAGGAGTGTCTTGTCATCACGCGTGACCTAGCGCCATACCTCAGGCTGATCCAATGATCTGACATGGACCCAGTTATCGACCATGTATTACTCTGTGCGGCGACTATCCACCAACTAACTTAAATACTTACGACAAATAAACGGTAGGTGTTTGAATGAAGCTGTTTCTTATGCGAACACAAATCGATTTATCAAGTTTTATCTGCTAGGGTTATGAAAGTGTTTGGCTGAGTAGATCGCATCTCAATTTGACCTTTCCAGGCTCTGAAGAAGGCGAAACCGCCGAAACGTCAGCAATTGTGTTCTAATAAATTCTATATTAACAACCTCGTGTCTGCTTATTGATGAAAAACATTGAATTATCAATTAATGCCGAGGTTAACAGAAACTCGGTCATGGGGATGTTTGAAGTCTTGGTGAATCGAATATATGGCCCACCCTTCAGGAAATGATCAGAGCCGAAAACTCCACGCTTTGCTTTAAGGAGAAAAAGCCGCTAAATTCAAAAACGATGTCCTGAAGGCACCACAAACTGGAATATTTTCAGTTCACTAGACAGCTGTTGGACAAATACCGTTCGCGATGACATCCACGAGGAATGGGATGGGGTCATTCAACATCTTCACATTAGCGCTATGAAAGCTGAGAATTCGAAAGTCACCAAGAGACGTCTGTTTCCAGAAACACTCGAGGTGATACCCCAATGTGGAATCGCACGAGATACAGGCAACCGCTAACTCTCATCCGAACCGGCAAAACAACACACACAGACGATAAAAAAAAACCACTATAATGCTGAGATATTTGCAAAACTCCGGACCGCAGGTGTCTGCGGTGGGGAGCGAACGCGCTATTGTCTTTTCCGGAGGGTGACGCGTTCACCACCACACCATCCAGGCCCTCCGTTTCGCCTGTCTCTCGGCTAGTTCTATCGATCTTTTGCCGTCAGCAATAAAAGGGCTAAGATTGTGATTATAACTATAGCCTCAGTTTAACTGGGTTCAATGCCGATTTGGGTTCCCCAGACCAATCCCGTTGACGGGTGATTGCTGATCGCGCTGATCGATAGAACTAGCTGAGATACAAGCGAAACAAGGGACCCACATGGTGTCGTGGTGAACGCGTTACTCCCCGGAAAGGTCAATAGCGCGTTCGGTCCTCACCGCAGACACCTGCGGTCTGGGATTTTGCATATATCTCAGCACCATGTGGTTGCATTTTCTTTTATTTCTTTTTAACTTTGATAGAGCCTATGAAAAGGCTGGTCTTCGAATAAATCTCATGAAAACGATGTTCATGAGGAACGGATTAGTTTCGTATGCCCCAATAAACGCTAAACGGAACGAGTATCTCTGAATGCTCCAGTTATGTCTATCTAGGTCGGGAAATGAACATGCTGAATGACTCAGTTCCAGAGTTGAGCAGAAGGAAACGAGCGGATTGGGAAGTTTTCAAGAGCATCGAGGATGTAGTGAAGAGAACGAAAAACACCCGACTCCGTGCCCACTCTTTCGACTCAACGGTACTTCCCGCGTTAACGTATGCTTCAGAAACCTGGTCGTTGCGTAAGCAGAATGAAGGATCACTCAGCTTTATTGAACGCGCAGTCGAAACGGCAATGCTAGGAGTATCCTGTTTCACACAAGGGACGGGATCCGAAGCTCTGACCTCTGCCAACGATCAGAAATAAAAGATGCCAATCTATATGCCAAAATGTCGACGATAAGGTGGACTGCACACGTAGTGCTTTTGAACGACAACCGATGGACATGAACCGTTAGTGAATGGGTTCATCGGGACGTCGAACGCAATCCAAGAAGACCACCAACGCGGTGGTCAAAGTTTTTTATCGAAGCCTAAAAGAAAGGTATGATGTTCGAGTTCCTAGGGCGAGCAGAACTCACTGGGCTACTTTTGCACGGCGCAGGGAAAATAGAAGATTTAATGGCGTCCGCTCGAGTCACTCGCCGACCAACGGGACTATAGGTGATACAGGTGATTCTTACAAAACAGATGGAGACAAAACAATAGCCCTGTTTCTTGCGATTTTCTAGATATAATTTAACGTATCATTTACTGCCTATTCTTTTTAAGGGTAGGGTATACATTGTGAAATACAACTCCAATGATGCTGAGATATTTGCAAAACTCCGGACCGCAGGTGTATGCGGTGGGGAACGAACACGCGCTGCTCCCCGTTAAGGACAACAGCGCGTGTTCGTTCTCCACCGCATACACCTGCGGTCCGAACTTTTGCAAATATCTCAACATCATTGAAGTTATATTTCTAGATATAATTTTAACTTTGTGGTTAGGAAAGGGTTCAACGAGACGACACTACATCACCAAAGCAGCTTGGTGCGCACTACGTTGGATAATTAAGTCGCTGAATTTCGATGAGAAGAGCATACGACCTGATGGAAAATTCCTGTCAACTTTTCGCCTTTCTGATGACGCCGTTGTCTTTTCAAGAAGTGCCAGCGAAGCAGAGACGATAATCAGCGAACTCGGCGAAGCGAGAAAAGTAATCGGACCACGCATAATCGGACGATGACCCAGTTAGTGAAAAAGCCATGGTGAGAAGCCTATCAGATCAAACTAGTTGGTTCTGTGATTGTGGAAACCACCTCGTGGGGATTACTTCGTATTTAGTATATCTTGGTAGATCAATGAGCGCTATAGCAAAATGAAGGAGGAGTTAGGCGGAAGAAGTAGAGCAGCTCAAGCTAAATTCGAGCCTCTCAAAGAAGCCACGGACCAACTGAGGAACCCGACAATCCGCGCTCACCTTCGATCTAACAGTCCTCCCAGCGCTCTGTTATGCTGCAGAGACGTGGGATGACACTTAAACCACGTGAAGATTACTGCGCACTATTCACGGAGCAAGGGGCGTGTAGTGTACCGGTATTATGCGCTATCACAATAGATATGGGGTAGATTCCTGCATTTCAGGCTCACCAAACCTTCCACTGCTGCAGGGTCGGCAAATTGGTAACAGACTTGTCTGGGAGGGTAGCAGCACTGACTCCATACGTCGATGAGCCACCACAAGCCGTTGTAAAACCCAGGTGTATTCAGTCGCCTCCAATGATGCTTAATGAAAACGACTATTTGGCCCACCTCTCGGGGATTGATCAACGCCCAAAGCTTCATCTTCTTTTTTGCTCACAGAGCATCTGAACGATGTATTATGAAATAAAATTGGCACACTCAATATCTAGCCGGAATGCGAAGCTGCGATCTGAAATTTTTCTTATCTTCGAGACCCGAGGGAACACACATCGATAGCGAACCGTAGAGGAACATATAATGAGAACAACAGTCAGTAGCCTGATGAAAAAAATTGTAGAGTGGACTCCACGAGGATGCAAGCGTCCTCTAAAACGGGTACCTACGCGTTGGGCGCACGTGCTCGTAAACAAAGTCAATCAGCTGTGCTCGCAACTGCAGTTATTTTACAAATCACGGTATAAGACCCGCACTCAACACATGTTTTAATCGAACCACCACCCAGAAAAACGACTGTGAGTTGAAGAAACGAATGGAAAATGTGCTGCGGTCCGAGCAACTCTTGAAAACGGGTCGTCCAAGTATCCAAGTAAGTAAATAAGAGTCTCTATGATCGACTTTCTTTTACCCTCGACACTGGATTATAAATATCTCGTTTTCCTTCTTAGCAATCGCGAGGTTGCTATTCAGCACACGTTTACTTCCTTACAAAAATAACACATACAGCACAACTGTATCTAGCGTTTCGGTAATGTCGCCTTCTTCAGAGCCAGGAAGGGCACACTGACATGCCATTTACTAAGTCAAACTCTTCAACGGCAAAAACAGAAAGGTGAAAATCTGAACGATACACGACCACCGACTTTTCGGAAAACCCACCGTTTTTTACCTGCCTTCCACCGAGCAAGAACAGCCGCTCAGAATCGCATTTGGTTGATGACTGCACCACCCCACATCAAAAATTAGCAAATAAGTAAACAAGTCTTTTGCGATTTAGACAACCTAGAATAGCCCTGAGATTTTAGCGTTCTCTAATAACTCGTTCTACCCAGTGCTACTGGGGCTCCTTCAACGTCAGGGGAATTAAGCGTAGCTTGCCAGTCTCTCCCAGTGTGTGCAAGGGTCTTAGTCTTTGGAGGCGACTGCTAACCATTTCCCATGTATTTCCCATTCACTTGACCTTCGAATCTAACTACATATCAGAGAGGCAAAGGTCGCTTTTGGTTTGCGATTAACCCCCTATCTGCCACCTGGGGACACATCACGTTGCCTCGTGACTAATCGGCGTGGGAATCTTCTATGAGAGATCCGTGGATATATATCATTTATTTTTATCTATATATCTCGTACCAATGCCCTACTAGTAATTCACTGAACTCTCTCATTTACCTGTGACAGTGCTTTGTAATGGTTATCTTAGTATAAGAGAGCAAATAATCTTAATGAGCGCGAACAGTTGTCATATCAAAGCGCCACTTGCCGCCTGTCAGCTCCAATCACCGATCACCGATCAAGCGGTTACTGAGTGACTCGAGCTTGTCCACCAGTATACCAACTCTTCGTCTCTGCTTAGTTGACTTTCTTCGCTTAAGTAATGTGTGGAAAGTCAAATATTTGTATGGCATCCTTTTATACTGTCTTAGGTATCAAGTGGCTTGCTAAGCTCTCTGACAACAATTTCCTATGCTTTGATTGACATCCGGATAGAAATGTCAAATATTTCCTTTAGTAGATGAAGTCCGGCTATGAATGGCCGCGACTGCAATTCGTGCTCATTTTTGTAGGAAAAAACTTTCCTCATCCACGAATGGAGATAAATATTAAAATGAAATAGTTTGAAGTTATTTTCCTCGCATTATGCTTCCTTGTGGAATCGATTGTAACCTTACTTTCGGACGACTTATTTGTTCAGTTCAATCGCTGGAGTCCTAATCTAATTTCATTTAGTTAAAATCACAATGTTTAACGTTTTGTTTTCTGTCTTCTATAATTTTCATGGCAGGTTACTAAGCGAAATACAACCGCAACGTTGCTGAGATATTTGCAAAACTCTGGACCGCAGGTGTCAACCCCGCTGACGGGTGATTGCTGTGGCAAAAAGATCGATAGAAATAGCTGAGAGACGTGCGAAACAAAGGACCCGCATGGTGTGGTGGTGAACGCGTTACTCCCCGGAAAGGATAATAGCGCGTTCGTTCCCCACCATAGACACCTGCGGTTCAGGGTTTTGCAAATATCTCAGCAACGTTGTGGTTGTATTTCATTTAGTTAGTTCTTTTCGTAATGACTCGGATCCGTCGCGTCGCATGCATTCGCTCCTTTTCACTTTCCTAGGCTTCTACATCTCGCTTACCCCATTTATGACTTAAACGCAATAAAGGATCCATAATTATGAGCGTCTAAAACTATAGAACTGTTCTAATTTGTTTTTCACTCGATCTTCTCTTTTATTAACCTTTTTACAAGGATGGAGAATAGTGAAGAATGTAGTTGGTGAGACGAAAAAATTTCAGTGATTGCTAGCTGCTCAGTCGACATGTGGCATCGACCAAGGCGTTCGATTCCTGTGATACTCATCATTTCACTTATCAAAAATCCAGCACTAAGCATCGATCCAGAATGTTATATGACCGTCGTCAGTCCAACTATTTCACTTATTATTATTATTATTATTATTATTATTATTATTATTATTATTATTATTGTCACTGTAATGCTGTGTATAAAAAACTTTGGATATTTTATCAGTTTCAGTTTTAGCCACAGGTCGCACGACATTTCGGTTATCCATCAGAAGTTCACCTAGTGAGAACCGATGACGACTACATCCTTGAAATCCACCGAATTCCACATGGGCGCCATCACGAGGGTTCGTCAGTCATATAAAAACTTTCCTCAGCCTTTGTTTTTCTTTCTTTAGTCGTTATTATCCTTAGCCACATGAATGGTTTTCTATTTAGAGTGATATTATGAGTTATACTTATCGAATAGGCATTTACTGGTCTCGTGTTTAATGTTCTTTATTGAACTCAGAATCTAGGAATCATGTCAGAAGAAAGGCCGTTAGTATTTTTGCAACACGGTATCTTTTCCGACGGCTTCAACTGGACACCAAATCTCCCGAATCAATCAGCCGGTGAGCATAATTTCAAGCTTTGCTATGATTTTCATTTCTATAGAAAATTGTGGAGCGTGGGAAGCGCAGTTGCTGTTCAATTTCTGGAAAAACCAAGCCTCTCATTCCTCCACGGCTAAAAATTAGAAAATTTGCCGCCGGACCACTACAGGAAGCTCTTTTCAATCCACAAAGGCTTTTGAACATTGTTTGCCTGTTGTGAAGAGTTGGGAGCGCCTTACAGCCGACATCTCAGGACTTTACAGAGAATCGAATGGAAGAAGCACTGGGTTTCCTCCATTATACAATGTCATTTAGAAGACAAAAAATGGTGAAAACTATTAACTCCTTGTAATAAATAGTTCCCAGGATCGACTTTCTATTAACCTCGGCATTGGAATATGAATGTGTCGTTTTCTTGTTCAGCAACCGCGAGGTTTTTAAACAGCATACATTTACTTCCATAGAGAAACACAATACAATACAACGCTAGCTGACGTTTCGGCAGTATCGCCTTCTTCAGAGCCTGGAAGGGTATGCTGATATACAATCTACTAGGCCAAACGCTTCAATAACACTTACAAAAAGACGAAAAACTCTTCGGTAATTACATGATCAACAGCTTCTCGAAAAACTCACCGCTTTTTACGTAACTTCCAATGAGGAAGTTTAGAACAGCTGATTATAGTCGCATATGGTTGATGACTGCACCACCCCACATAAGAAATTGATGCGAAGATATGGGGTCAGGTGGCGTGTGACCTCTGGGCATTCCTCCCTGCTATTCATTGTGGGGTTTTTGACATTTATCCAAAAAGCCTCAAGAAGTTTTCGCGCTGGTGTTTTAGTCTCCTGTGCAAGGATATTGACTTTTACTTCAAAATCGTCTCCGCTATGCTTTTGTATCCTATGCGTGCCTAGTGGGGTGCTTCGTCTTAGTTTTCGTTTGCCATCTAGGTGTTCTTTTATACGGATACACAAAGGTCTGCCCGTTTCGCTAATATATTCATCTCCGCAATTGTTACACGAGATCAGGTATATCGTACCTGAACTCATGCAATCACCGCCCCTGCCGTAAGGGCAAATTACGCAAATTTGTTGTTTCACATAAATGGCCATACAGGCGGTTACGAACTAATTGACGACGTAAAGTAGCCGGTGGTATTTCAACTATCGCTACCGATTCCTCTAGACCAGCTCTTCTTAAATATCGTTTTATAGCCACGCTTACTTCATCGCTTGTAAAGGGCAACATAAACGGGACTTTCTTTTGGACAAGTGTTTCGCGTGGGCGTATCGCTCTCCTTCTAAACTTATCTCATGGGGTTACTATTTTGTAGCGATTGGAGATGGCTATTTGCCGAGCCAAGTCGCGCGATTCTTCCTTTAGTTCCCTGGCAGTGCATACAGAGGTGGCTGCTCGAAACATGTTTCTCACAATCGCCCTCTTTGTGTGTGGAGGGTGGAAAGAAAGGAAATGAACAAGGATGTTCTTGTTACTTGGCTTTCGATACCACTTTGTCAGGTAACCACTACATGATAGGTTTATTTGAACGTCCAAAAACGAAAGCCAGTTTTTTCTCGGTTTCTCCCGGGTGAACTTTATGTACTCGGACTGCTCGTTCAATAATTCAAAGCATTTGTCCATCTCTTCCTGCGTAAAGAAAACGAAAAAACAATCGTCTACATATTTGCAGTAGAGTAGTGGCCGGAGATCGAGAACAGGGCTTCTATCTTAGACATCAACACAACAGCAAGGCTTGGTGCCAGTCGCTGTCCCATTGCCAACCCCCTTATTTGCGCGAAATATTTCCCAGACCATCTGAAAATCGAACAGTTTAGGCACTCCTTTAAGAGAGCCATTAGCTGCTAGATGGACAAGCCATGCATATTTATTCCTTCTTCATATTCAGCAAGAAGTTAGAAGATGGCTTGCATTGCGGAGTCATTCAACACGTTGGTGTACACTGCGGTAACCTCAAAAAACTCCATCACGTACGCGTTATTAGGAGACGCGTTACGTAGACGTTCTAGAAACATTTGGGGGTTTGTAACGTGAGCTGGAATATGGTTAAGCAGCTGGGTAAGTAATAGTATAATCAGCTGTTCTAATCCTCCTCACTGGAAGTCACGTAAAAAGCGATGAGTTCTTCGAGAAGCTGTTGATCATGTAATTACCGAAGAGTTTTTCGTCATTTTGTAAGTGTTATTGAAGCGTTTGGCCTAGTAGATTGTATATCAGCATACCCTTCCAGGCTCTGAAGAAGGCGATACTGCCGAAACGTCAGCTAGCGTTGTATTGTATTGTGTTTCTCTATGGAAGTAAATGTATGCTGTTTAAAAACCTCGCGAGGGCTGAACAAGGAAACGACTATTAACTCCATTGGTTTACAGCATCATTCTGGTTAGCACTCTCTCCCTGCTTTCATCCAAGAATTATCCAAGAATGTCATCTCTTAGGGATGCATTCAACTCTATCAAGAATCGCAATGACGGTTAGATGCACGTTTGCCCTACGCATGAATCAAATCAGTGTCTTACTTTTATCCTCCAATACAAATCCAACACCAGATGGCCAACTTTGGAGCGATAACAAAGTCGGTTTACTCAGAACTTAAGGTCGAACAACCAGTCCTGTATAAATTGTAGGCATCTCTAACAACTACGCACCTCCACCTTCAATTCAATCCATGTCTGTTGTTACTGACATTACTACCATCATCAGCACTATTGTTGCACAAAAAATCATTAAGCCTTCGTTTTCGCCGACGCCGGATTTGATGTGTGGATCAGCAACTCACGTGGAACACCGCCTTCTCAGAAGCACATTGGTTATGGGCCACACGACCAACGATTCTGGAACTTCACGTAACTTGCAGCAACATCTATGCTTTCAAACTTTGTTGCCATTCTTTAATTTTTGCTCCTTTTATTCAAAATATTTTCTATTTTCCTATTTGCATTGAATTTAGTAACTATTCCACCACGTTGTTTGGATTTTCCGTTTCTATACGGAGGAATTCTGCACGTGAAAGGGAGAATTGTCCTTTTTTTTCCTCAGAGCAAAAAGCTAAAGAAGAAATAGTGCTCCCCTAAAATAAATGATGAAAGCGAAGGTGGCTAGGAGATGAAATTGATGCTTCTTATTAGACTACCACATATCCAGAAATTTACAGATGGCAAGACATGGCAGCTTTTGATTTGCCATCGTCAGTCAACTACGTGCTTGAAAAAGCAGCTCAAGTAAGTACAGAGTTGTCCATCTTTTTCATTTTTAGTAGGCTCATATTATTTAAGCTACACTAGTTAAAATCACATGTCCTTTGTAAGAATCACCTGTATCATCTGTAGTCCCGCTAACAGTCGAGTGGCTCGAGCGGCCGTCAGTAAATCCTCCATTTGTCCCTGTCGCGTGCAAGAGTAGCCCAATGAGTTCTACTTGCTCCACGAACTCGTTGAGTATCATATCTTTCTTCTAGACTCTTCGTGAAAAACTGTGATCATCGGGTCGGTGGTATTCCTCTAGTAGGTTTGACATCTCGAGGAATCCAGTCACCAACGGCTCTTGCTCATCGGTTGTCGTTCATACGCATTACATGTACGGCCCACCTTATCTTCGGTTTGGCACATGGGACATCGTTTTCGTTTTTTGATCGTCGATGCAGTTCAGAGTTTTGGATCTCCTCCCTTACTTGCGTGACACGCGATACTCCTAGCATCGCCCTTTCGACTGCGCGTTCGATAACGCTAAGCGATTTTTCACGCTGTTTACGCAGCAACCAGGTTTCTGACGCATACGTTAGGACAGGAAGTACCGTTGAGTCGAACAGGTGGGCACGGAGTCGGGTGTTCTTTGTCCTCTTCACTACATTCTCGATGCTCTTGAAAACTCCTCAATCGGCTCATTTCCTTCTGCTCAACTCTGGAACTAAGTCATTCAGCATGTTCATTTCCCGTCCTAAATAGACATAACTAGAGTATTCGGAGATATTAGTTCCGTTGAGCGTGAATGGGGCATACGAAACCAATCCGTTCCTCATGAACATCGTTTTGTGAGATTTAGTCGAAGACTACTCTTTTCATAGGCTTTATCAAAGTCGGCAAGCATACGTTCTGCTTGGCTAATGTTTGACGTTATAAGGACGACGTCATCAGCGAAGCGGAGATGGTGTAACTGCTGACCATCGATTTTCACTCCCATTTTATCCCATTCCAATGTTCGCATGACGTTTTGGAGGGTGGCGGTAAACAATTTTGACGAGGTGGTATTGTCTTGTCGAACCCCTCTTTTGACGTCAATGCTAATACCGTTGTAGAATGGTGATACCTTGGTTGTGAATTTTTTGTACAGCTGACGAAGATTCTTAATCTATTGAGTAGGGACTCCTCGACTATTGAGAGCTTCCATGACTGCTTCTATCTCAGTTAAGGCAAAGTCCTTCTTCATATTGGTGAAGGTGAGACAGAGCGGTCTTTCGAACTCTCGCGATACTTCAGTGTGTCTTGTTATCATGTGGATGTGGTCCATCGTAATAAATCCTTTTTGGAACCCTGCTTGCTCACATGGCTGCCCTTCGTCCAGTGCTCCGTCAATTCTGTTTAGGATGACGCGCGTGAACTTGTAAGATTACTTTAACATTTTTATTGGAACATTTTTCATTTTTACGGGCTTAGATCACGCTATGGACTTTGTAAAATCAATTAATAACCCTTAATAGGGTTATTGCAAAAATTTTCCATTTCACGACTTCAATGGAGCTTTGGATGACCGCTTATATTGATATTTTGGGTTTGTCAGTGAAATCGCTTCTCAGAGAAATAAATGAGATACAGAATTTCTTACTGGCTCATGGAGAACATGAAAATTTCCCAAGTTTATAAATGAAAAAGTACAAATCGATATTCAACATTAATGAAGTAGAAAGAAGTTTATGGATGTACCGAATGAAAACTATGAAGGACATAAACTGCTCCTTTCTTCACAGCCACCAAATATTAACAATGAATGTAGCAAAATTTAAATCTTCAAAAGGATCATGACTTATTTGAAGGCCTCCTAAACCTTTAACGCGACATTTGTTTCTATTAGTTGTTCTTTGTTTAGGATAGCTTGTACTATGTAGGGCATTCACAAGGTACCGAAATAATGTTCGCCAAGCTTGCAGAGGATCAACGATTTGCTTCCAAAGTACGTTTAGTCGAATGCTTTTCTCCATAGAACTCTGTAAGGAATGGACTAACGTTTCTGTATAGAAATGGATAGAGATAAGGATTTTATCTACAACAGAAACTGTCCGATTGAACTCCACAGATTCGCCAAGCCTTCCATCCCTTCGAGTTTGGCAAATTGGCACCAATCTTCTTTGGGAGGATAGCAGTGCAGTCTCGAAACACTGATATGTTAGCACATGTCGCTGTATAAGCCAGGATGCATTCAGTCCCCTCTACGATGCTTAATGAAGTAAAATCTATGAGCGCATTCCTCAGGGATTAATCAACGCTGAAAGATTTATCCCGACTTTAACAAAAACGCTAGACTAAAGAGTGTAATGTTGCATACAAGTGTGTAATCCTACAATACCCTTGTTGATCAGAAAGTTCTTTTCACTTGTTGGGCATAAAGAACGTCAAATGAAGTTCTCTCGATTATCATAGAACTTGATGACCACGAAGTCGTTTCACAAATTTCTCGCCTTTTGACACTGTGGGAGATCGGAAATCTAGCAGAAATCCTTTACATTTCTCGCATAATGAGTCTCTGATCAAAATAAGCTTACTCGTCACATCCTGCCACGTTGCTGCACACTCTCGATCAATTTCATTCAGTTACTTGAACAAAATAAGCTCAGAAATTACTTTCTTTAAAGCGTTTATCTAGACTCCTATGTCTCAATGTCCCACACAAAAAGTACACCTTTTCTGGCAGTCTCCTTCATTTTTTTGAAACAGTGCTTTTAAAGTGAGAAACTGAACTCTTATCGTCCTCACAGCGTCTTTCTTCATTAAGACATGGTTTCAGCTTTTAAGGGTACTTGTATCCACTTCTTATCAGCGATTTTGTCTCTTCTTCACCTCTCATTTCCTTCTGTTATATTGCCTTAATATTTTACATGTTTTGATTTGCTAGTAGCTAACATTCTTCAAGCTCGCTATTACCATTCTAACGACAAATTTCAAACGAAAAATAATATGAACCCTTCTAAACCCCACTACTAGTTCCTGGTTCTTTTATAGGAGGATACGGAGTACAAAAGTTCATTCTATGATAAAAGAACTTATTGTCAAGGTTTGAGAACTTCTTTTCTTTCAATTCAGATCCGTCAGTTTCATGCACTGGCTCCAGTGGCGACCGTATCTCATGTCGGTGGATTATTTCGGTTGTTCGGAGAACGATTCACGACGATTCTCGCCGAAGTAGGTTGAGCGCAAAAAAGTTAAACAAACATTTAATGTGCAATTTAGGTGGGTCCCTTTTAGTCCGTAGCCGTACAATAATATTCACGTTGAAACACTTTTGGTAGAAGACTTATTCATTTTCATTGAAGAAGAAAAAAGAACCAAGGCGGACTTTCTTTTAACTTCGGCATTTATCAACAATTCACTATTTTTTTTGATGAGCGAACATGAGGTCGGTATTTTGTTATTCATTGATGAAGAACAGCTGACGTTTCGGCGTTTTCGCTCTTCAAGGCCTGGAATGTTCAAAATAACATGCAGTTTACTCTGTCAAACACTTCCATAACCTTAGTAGTAGAAAAACTTAACACACAGATTTCCATTCACGTAATATACAGTTTCTTTTAAACAATGGCCGCTTTTTAACCTTTTTATTTACTGCCTACTATAATTTTTAACGGCAGGGAATCATGTGAAATACAAATAAGATGATGCTGAGATATTTGCAAAACTCTGGACTGCAGGTGTCTGCGGCAGGAACGAACGCTGTATTACCCTTTCTGGGGAGTAACGCGTTCACCACCACACCATGCGGTTCCTTCGTTTCGCCTGCCTCTCAACTAGTTCTATCGATCAGCGCCATTGGCAATCACCTGTCAATCGGATTAATCTTGGGAGCCCAAATCGGCAACGAACCTGGTTATAGTAGGCAGTACATAAAAAGGTTAAGATTGTGATTTCAACTTCAGCTTCAGCTTAACTAGGTTCGCTGCCGATTTAGACCCCTAAATCAATGCGATTGACGGGTGATTTCTGATGGCACTGATCGATAGAACCAGCTGAGAGACAGGCGAAACGAAGGAACCGCATGGTGTGGTGGTGAACGCGTTACTCCCCGGAAAGGACATAACGTGTTCCTTCCCCACCGCAGAAATCTGCGGTCCGGAGTTTTGCAAATATCTCAGCATCATCTTATTTGTATTGACCGCTTTGTTCATTTTAAGTCTTCCAGTTACTTTGTGGAGACCAGCCGCACAATTTTACATGGACGAGGAATGTGCCTGGGTCACGTGAAAAATATCCAAAGCATCAGCGTGTAAAACGCTTGAGACGTTTTGGAAAAATTCTAGAAATCCAAAAATGGACCGCAAGGAGGAGTGTATTGTGATTATCAGGGTGGCTTGATGAAACAGGAACATTCTTCGCCCATGTAAGATTGTGCTGGTCTCAACCAAATAATTGGAGGACTCCCGACGAACGAAACGGTCACCTGTCACCTGTAGTCCCGTTGGTCGTCGAGTGACTCGAGTAGACGCCATTAAATCTTCCATTTTCCCTGTCGCATGCTAGAGTAGCATAGTGGGTTCTGCTCGCTCTAAGGACTCGTCGAGCATCATATATTTTTTCAAGACTTTTCGTGAAGAACTCTGAGCATTGAGTCGGTGATTTTAGTGCAATGCGTTTAACATGCCGAGAAATCCAGTCACTAACGGCTCTTGTCCATCGGTTGTGCACCTTATCTTCGACTGTTTGGCGTACAGAACGGCATCTTTCATTTTTGATCGTTGTCGCAAATCGGAGCTTCGGATCCCATCCCTTACTTGTGTGGAACGGGATACTTCTAGCATCGTCCTTTCGACTATGCGTTCGATAACGCTGAGTGACCTTTCATCCTGCTTACGTAGCGACCAGGTTTCTGACGCATACGTTATGGTAGGAAGTACCGTTGAGTCGAAAAGGTGGGCATGGAGTCGGGTGTTCTTTGTTCTCTTCACTACATCCTCGATGTTCTTGAAAGCTCCCCAAGCCGCACGTTTCCTTTTGCTCAACTCTGGAACTAAGTCGTTCATCATATTGATTTCCCGACCTAGATAGACATAACTGGAGCATTCGAAAATAAGATATATTCGTTCCGTTGAGCGTGAATGAGGCATAGGAAACCAATCCGTTCTTCATAAACATCGTTTTTGCGAGATTTAGTCGAAAACCAATCTTTCCACAGGCTTCATCAAAGTCGTCAAGCATACGTTCCGCTTGGCTAATGTTTGGTGTTATAAGGACGATGTCATCAGCAAAGCGAAGATGGTGTAACTGCCGACCGTCGATTTTCACTTTCATATTATCCCATTCCAATGTTCGCATGACGTTTTGGAGCGTGGCGGTAAATAATTTTGGCCAGATGGTGTCGCCTTGCCTAATTCCTCTTTTGACGTCAATGCCAATATCGTTGTAGAATGGTGATATCTTAGTTGTGAAATTTTTGTACAGCTCACGAAGAATCTTTATTTACTGAGCAGGGACTTCCTGACTATCAAGGGCCTCCATGACTGCTTCCATCTCAACTGAATCAAAGGCCTTCTGTAAATAGATGAAAGTGGGACAGAGCGGTCTTTTGTACTCTCGCAATACTTCAGTGAGCCGTGTTATCGTGTGGATATGGTCCATCGTACTAAATCCTCTTCGAAAGCCTGCTTGCTCACATGACTGTCCTCCATCTAGTGTTCTGTCAATCCTGTTTAGGATGACTCGAGTGAAAAGTTTGTAGACGACAGACAGTAAGCAGATTGGGCGATAGTTGCCGATATCGTGTAGGTCACCCTTCTTGAACAATTACACGGTCTTGCTGGTCTTCCACAGAGTAGGGACCTTGCATTCAGACAGGTAACGTGTGATGAGCCGAGCCAGTGTGTTTACGAGGACTGGCGGAAGGTTCTTCAGGTGTTCTGATTTTATCCTGTCCGGATCCAGTGTTCTTCAATCTTTCACCGACGAAATGGCATGTCGGATTTCGGATGGGAGAACAAGTGGTGCAACATATCCACCCTCCTTTACTTCATATGACGGTGGGTGGACGTGGCTATCGAAGAGGTCCGAGTAGTATTCGTGAATGATTTTCTCCGTTGCCTTTCTGGACGCTGTAACTGTTCCGTCGCGGCGCCGGAGAGCAATCATTTTGGTCTTGTAATTGGCGAAGCCTCGGTGGGCTTTGGGAATGCTTTTCCCAGCCTCTGCAGCTTCGGTAATTACTGCTGCTCTTCTCTTTCTAAGATCTTCTTTTATCACCCGTCTGCATTCTTGTGCAAGCTCGGGCGTTAGTGCGCGGTTGTTTGCAGCTCGTGGCGATTCCACCCTGCCGTGTCAGCTCGAGTGTTTCTGGAGACAGACGTCTCTTGATGACTTTCGAACTCTGAACTTTCATAGCGCTAACGTGAAGATGTTGAATGAGTCAATCGTATTCTTCGTCGATGTTATCGACAACGGCATCTTCCCAACAGCCGACTAGTGAATTGAATAAGTCCCAGTTTGTGGTGGTTCTGGGACTTCGGTTTTTAAATTTAGCGGCTTTTTCTTTACGTGAGAAATAGAATCTTGCACGAAGGAGACAATGGTCTGATTCTGTGTAGAATTTTGGGACAACAGCGACATCGGTTAGGCAAAACCTTCTATTTACTATGATGTGGTCTATTTCGTTATGGTACTCTCCATTAAGAGACTCCCATGTCCAGCGTTGAGGATGGGTCTTCTGGAATTGCGAGTTACCATAGATGGTCTTGGTCACCATGATAAATTCGGATAGCCTCTCACCCTGTTCGTTCCATTTTAATCCGTTGGTCTCAATGTGACGTTCTTCTTGATCTAATCTTGGCGTTGAAATATCCAATGGTTACCTTAAAGATTGTATGGTCTTCTTTGTAGAACTTCTCCAAATCCATATAGAACGCTTCGACTTCTTCTTAGTCATAGTTTGATGTCGGCGCGTAAATGACGAACATTGTCAAAGCCGGAATTGATCCACGTCATTTTAATCGTAAGCATCCGATTCGGGTTGTAAGTTGTTCGAATGAATCGATGTTCATGGATAAACTCGTGTTGACGAGAACGCCGACGCGGGCGACTCCTCTACTGTCGCATGTTCCGAGGAACGGTTCTTCTCCGGTGTCATAGACGGCGTTGGGAGGCTGGCGTCGTCTCATCTGGGTGTCTCGGTCAGGCCGACGACGTCGTACTTTATTCTTCTTGCTTGCATGAGCATGTCTTCTATCTAGGACTCGGAAGCAAGTGTACGTGCATTGTAGCTACATATCGTCACCATAGTTCTTTGAAATCCAGGCAGATTCCAATGGCCCTGAGATTTTAGCAGCCTCTCCGTACTCAACGCTGCGAAATTGGGGGCTCTTTCGGGGTCAGGAGAATGATGCTCGTTTTTTTTTTACTGTGTTCAGCACTTTTGATACCCTCTCATAGCTTGCTGGGCTATCAACGTGGAGGTTGAGTATATTCACGGGTAGCTTACCAGGCTCTCCCAGAGTGGAGGTGGAGCTTATTTGTTGGAGCCTCGCGACTAACCGACTCGAAATCTCTCGTATGAGGGAGATCCGTGGTAACGAAACGGCAGGTGTTTAAAAGAAACTGCTTATTTTTCGATCAGAAATCTATGCTTAATTTTGGTGTGTTGAGGTCAGGAATGTGGCTTGGTGAGCAAATTGCACCTAGGTCTTACCATTCCAAGCTCCAAAGAAGGCGAAATCACCGAAACGTCGGCTATTCTATGTTAGTAGATGATGTTGCACCATTTTTGCTCATTAAGAAAGTCAGATAAAAGAACATTGTAGCGTTCTTATGCTATGTTTTCCTTCAAAAATAAAAAAAATCCCTTTTTCCATCAAGCATTGACTTATGTTTGCCTGGCCTTTGCCTATACGTTAGATTACTTTGCTTGGCGTTCATTCGACAGCAAAAGACGTTGTCTTTGTCCTTTTCAGATGAATCCGATTCAGAAATCCAAGTAATCATATCCCAACGTCGCACGCAATCTCGATATCAACGCTAAATCTAAATACGATACCGTAACTCCACAAGCCCTTTGAAAATTCTTAATCTGGTTGTTTATTTGATAACGGAAAATGAAGTACAGTAGTTACGAATGTATTACGGTAGCTACGACACTCACAGCAAAGGGAAAGGAAAAGGAGAAGTTAGTACCTGAGACTGCAACAAGTTCATGAGCCTTTCCTAAAGGTTTATTAATTTCTTGCTCCAAGGAATTCATTTGTTTACGTGATTTTGTTCGTATTTTTTGAGCAAACGCGAGGTGTTATTGTTCTTTGTTCACGATTAAGCTAACGTTTCGGCGAATTTCGCCTTCTTCAGAGCCCGCTCACTATTCTCCTCCAGAGGTGGTCCTCCAAATATTTAGCACAAAAGTTTTCCTTCGTCTCGCACTTCTTCCACTTGGCGAACATCTGGTTTTGTCGGCTTCGTAGACAAGTGCGTAGTATTCGCAATTCGACGTCCAATACTTGGTGACTGTCCTCTGGTAGACCGCATACGTCGTGTAGTCGTCTTCGTTTGATGAAGTTCGGAACGACATTTGACAAAACGACAACAACAAAACAAACACATTCAAACGACAAGCATTAACGACAACAACAAACGACGACAACGGAACGACATTCATTTGTTTACTACAAAGCTCAAAGTGAACAAAAATAAACTCTGTATTTGTCGTGTTTTTGAAGTCTTGAGTTGTAACACTGATTGATTTTTGGTGGCTTGATGTCCACAGAAAGAATTGATTGGTTCTTTTCTGAGCTCATTGACAAATGGACTTTAGAAGCGACTCATGTAAAACTTCTATCCGAATCTAAGTCTACTAAGTCCTTGGAGAGTTCGTTTACTCACATCCATCAACATTTGTTTTATCAGAATGTAGTTTTATTTGTTTTCTATTCATTTTCTTCCTGTTCCATATTCCAACATGCAGTTCTGAAATTGTGCTTCATTCGAGGGTGGGTAGCTTGCTTTTTAATTAATACTATTTCACTTTAGCTTTTTCTTCGTCGGATACCGAACTCTCCGTTAACACTGCCAAAGATCGTGCAAAAGATGATCAGTTATTTTTGTAGGTGAGCGAATTACAGTGTTCTTAAGAAGAAAGGAGAAGTCACAAACTAAGGATATTACGACATTTTCAAATTAAGGACGGTATCTAAAAGTATTTTATGACTTCAGATTAATTAGTATATAGTACATACCAATACTTCCATTGTTTTTTGTGGCTGTTATTTTTTGTAACGAATGTTTTCCTTAAATTTTCCTTCACTTTCACCATCGTAGCCTTCCGATTGCACAAGGAGTTTGTGCGCTGGACATCGGCTTCGTCGACGGCAGAGAGACACAAATGAATACAGTAAGATCTACAGAACATAGTGCTTCAAGTTTTCGTCTTCAGTTCAATTTTCTCAACATTCGAAAGAAAATGTACGAATTTTCCAATAGGATTCATATAGTAGTGCCCTGAAGATGATCAAATATGTATACCTAATTTCTATCCGAACACTGAAAAGCTATTCTACGGAAAGGATCGTGCTGTCCTGAGCAGCACAATTCTAATTTGAGCACCTTTTCATTGCTTGGACAAGATCACTCTCCTGGATGTCACGACATATAGAAGAAGTCTCCAAGTCTCAAATACGGAGAGTTGCCACGTTTTCCGAGGATCACTGAGTTTGTCGTCTTTTGCTCACGTTTCTTTCACGATGTTTACGATTTCTTGTAAAGGTTCACACTAATTTCGACCATCCGAATTCGTTCTCGGCTTGAATGACCAGAGCTCCCAGTAGATAAACTTTCTTTCTGTGCATCACAGGTGTATATCTAGGAACACTAATGCGACAATGAATCAACATACTGTTCTATTATGGAGAAACAGTATATTATTGCATTATACATTGACTTTCCCAACACTGTACTTCTGTCCATTATGCATCCATTACTTCCTGGACCTCTAGCATATTTCCTTTTTAAGTCGTTAACAGTTACAAATTTTTCCATGGAGTCTGATATGGACATCGATTCCACGCCAAAGTCAGGGAAATTCAAAGGATCGACTTCCTATAAACCTCGGCATAGATATATTTGTTTATATGATCTTATAAATTAATCTTCTTTAACTGATTCGACGTTGGTATAGGTCTCTGTTGTCGTTGTCGCTGCTGTTGGTGTTGCTGGTCGATGCCTGACGTTTCAGCGATTTCGCTTTCCTCAGAGCCTGGACATATTTTATATAAGAATACTTTAATTATTCGGTGAAAAAAGGGCTAAAGTGTTAACGAAGATCAAACTTCTAAATAGACGCTATATTGAACAGAAAGGCTACTCACCATGACGTTACGAGTGGGACTGGTCCACAAGTAGTTCACGTGGGATCGCAAGCAAGACACACCCCGGGGTCAAAATATCATTTTGAAATAGGGCGCCAGGTCAAGCGTCATAGTGAAGCATTCGTCTTTCCGATTCATTTTTGGATTTTTGAAATTTCTACAAAACGCCTCAAGAGTTTTGCGCATTGATGTTTGCGATTCCTCCGCTAGGATCCGCACATTCACTTCAAAATCATCGCCACTGTGTTTTTGTGCCCTATGAGGGGTGTTTAGGCGGATTTTAGCTTTCCCATCTAGATGTCCTTTTACGCGGACAAAAATTGATCTACCCGTTTCCCCAATATATTCCTCACCGCATGCGTTACATTAGATGATCTGTCCTAACGGGAGAGACGGGGATTGCATGAGTTCAGGTATAATATACTTGACCCCATGTAACGCATGCTGTGAGGAATACATTGGCGAAACGGGTAGACCACTTTGTGTCCGCATAAAAGAACATAGATGGGAAAGCTAAAATCCGTCTAAACACACCTCTAGGTACGCAAAGGGCACAAAAACACAGTGGCGATGATTTTGAAGTGACTGTGCGGATCCTAGCGCAGGAATCGAAAACATCAACGCGCAAAACTCTTGAGGGATAAATTTCAACAATCCAAAGATGAACCGGAAAGATGAATGCCTCACTATCACACGTGAACTAGCGCGCTATTTCAAAATGACATTTTGAGCCCTGGATGTGCCTCGCTCGCGACCCCACGTGAGCAAAGCGTGGAGCAGTACCATTCGTAACATCACTGTGAGTAACCTTTTGATCAATATGGCGTCTACCTAGAAGTTTGATCTTCGTTCACACTTCAGCCTTTTTCGACCTAATAATTAAAGCATTCTTATATAAAATAAGTCCAGGCTCTGAGGAAGGCGAAATCGCCGAAACGTCAGCCATCGACCAACAACACCAACAACAACGACAACGACAACGAAGACCTATACCAACCTCGCATCAGCTAAAGAAGATCAAGTAATTCTTCGTATTTTTGTTGAGCAAACGCGAGGTGTTATTATTCTTTATTTACGCACAAGCTGACGTTTCGGCGGATTTCGTCTTCCTCAGAGCCTGGAAAGGTCAAGTTGATAGCAATCTACTGGCCAGACGCCTCCATAACCAAACAGAGAAAACGCTAAACCAAGATTTCAATCACATTTAGCATAGCTCTGCACACTCACCGCTTTTTATGAGTCTTCCACTGAATATGTCGTGTGAAAACCGACCGCACAGAATTCACACGGAAGCGTAATGTAGCCCTCCCATCAGAATAAAAGGTTTATATACTGCCCTATATCACGCGTGATAATGAGGCATCCTTTCCTTCGGTTCATTTTCGGATTTCTGGAATTAATCCAGAATGCCTCGAGAGTTTTCGCGCCTGTGTTCTTGATTCGCGTGCGAGGATCGTGACACATACTTCGAAGTCGTCCCCGTTATGTCTCTGGGTCCTATGCATGCCAAGCGGGGTATTTGGTCTATTTCTGTCGGCTGGTCTTCTTTTATGCGGACACAGAGGGGTCTCCGTTTCACCAATGTATTCGTCACCGCACGTCTTACAGGAGATCAGATAAACTATACCCGAGCTCATGCAATCACCGTCTCTACCACTGGGGCAAATTATGCAATTTTGAGTTGCACATAGACGGTCATATAGGCGGTTACGAACTAGCTGGCGCTTAAGATTACTCGGTGGTATTTCAACTACGCTTACCGAATTCTCTAAGCCTGCCATTCTTAAGCAGCGTTTTATTGCAGTACTTATATCATTTGAGATGAAGGGCAGGATAAACGGGACCCTTCTATCGCTGGAGAAGTTTTTTGGAGGCCTAGGATTTTCCCTACACTTATCTTGAGCTACAGTTTCGTAGCCATTAGAAATGGCTGTCAGTTTATAAGATCATATAAATAAATAAATATATCAGGGAAAATCTTTCTCAAACATACACATTTTCTAGACGATGAGAAAATGGTGAAATCTAAGCTCTTCACTGGAATGGTGTCAGGATATCATTGTAAGAGCTACTTACTGGTGAATATCTCTACGAGTTAATGGTTAGGAAAGATGTAGTGAGGTATTGACGCTGCAGTTGTTGTCTCATATCTTTCCCTTATCTTAGAGCGACCAGCCCAGTGGTAAGATACCGTTCACTACGTGACCAGTACTACTACCCAATATCTGGTTCGACACATGGAGAGCTCACCAAACCTTTCATCAGTCTGGGGTCCGGAAATTAGAAGAAACTCGCCTAGGACAAGCTACTCTCTCTAACCTAAGTAAGAATGCTCTAGCACGGCTATCTAAGAATTACAAGGAGATTCGACTACACCAGCATTCAACGACATTCGTGGCGAAGACTAATAAATTCTCCATTAGCTATTATACAATCTTCCTAAATCAAAAAATTATCCTTCGACTAAAATAATATGAGGTTCTTAAGTATTTCTGAGCATAAATGAATTTCAGACACGTATTGGTGTCTATCTATGTCATACACCGGCAGCGACCTCTGTGAAGAATATCCTTCATTGGGTTCAGGTACAGCACTTTACTACATTCTAAATAAATCATTATGAAGTCCCAGGAGCATGTATTGACACGCCGTCCATTTAAGAAAGACTAGAAAACGCTACGAACAGCATCTGTTTAGATAGTAAAGTCACGAAAATGCGAAAAATTCGACTACGGTCCGAAGGGCAATATGCAAGAATACGGCAAGGTGAGTCCTCCTTTTTCATGAGATCAATAATTCCATTACCGTGCAGGTTCTTCTCCCAGGAAACACCGCCGATATTTGATTTGAGGAAAATAACTACACCGACATATCTTTACTGGAGTAAAGACGACATCCTCGCTGATACTGAAGATATAAGGTCAGCCAGAAAAACTTTATCTATTCGTATTAATCGAAACCCAATGGCAAGCCAGTCAGTCTTGCAATGAGTTGCAGCAGGATTATCATTCGACTGATATCTCTTCCGTTCACGAGTGCTTTTCTTTTTTTAAATTATCCTTGGAGAAAAGCAAGAGTATTATGAATTCATAATTCACAACCGATAAGCGACGCTTCTGCATTAGGGCTAGACATAGCGCTTTGCAAAATGGGCACTGCCAGTAAGACGACGGTTACTGGCATTATTTGTTCTCAAAAGTACTTCTTTTTGGAAACGCCAAACTTGTTTTCCATTTGACAGTTTCTATCAAAAAAAACTACCGATAAAACTAGATGTAGGAGACAGGCGAAACGAAGGACCTGCATGGTGTGGTGGTGAACGCGTTACTCCCTGGAAAGGACAATAACGCGTTCGTTCCCCACCGTAGACACATGCGGTCCGGAGTTTTGCAAATATCTCACCAACATTGAAGTTATATTTCGAAATATACCCTCCCAATGAAAAATGTAGGCAGTAAATAAAACGGTTAAGATTGCGCCCATTTGTCAGAAATAACGCGTCTGAAATGGTTCCCATTTAACTCCTCAATCATAGCCAATTTGATGCGTACGATGAAAATCGACGCACATGCAGGAGCACTCATATAAGCTGGAAGGAAGAATTCAACAGAGAAGCTTCGCACGGACATTGATTTGCCCATGATTACATTTCTGTCTTAACGAGTATAAACGGTGGCTTCTGCTCCGCGTTTGAGTGGCCAACGCAACTTCTCGACTAAATGACTCGACGGCTCTCACATGAGGGAGATATATAGCAGTAAAATTATAATTTTAACGATCGCGACTGCTTATAGTAACATTTCTATCTATTTTTCTATGAACAACTTAGGTAGGTTAGCCGGATACCGACTCACTGCTGAACCTAATCTGTTCAATCGATCCTATACACAGTTGCTGGCTGAAACGATTCGGTCGATTAGGGCTGTATGAAATCCTAAACCTTGAATACGATCTAAACTCTACCTAGCTTTTATGTGGTCCACTTTTCCACTGAGTTTTCAGCTAATAGTAAACAGCACAAGAAATTTTATAAAGATTTTAGACTTTTCTGATTCCCTCAAAACACTAGTAGATACAATTCCACGTTTTTCAGCAACATTCCTCTTTACAACTACCGAATTACTCGTTCTTTAAAGCACTTAAGACATTGGGGATGTAAAAAGTGGACAACAACCGAGAACACAAGTAGAAGACTTATCGAACACAGTTCAACGGAAATTGAAGAATTTATGCGATGAAATCCTTGAACATCATGTTGGGAAGCCATTCAAATCCATGACTAGGTTGTTTTATTTTCAGGGAGTCGATACTCTTAGCGATGAACGCGACAATTCGAGGAAGCTACGAACTGCTACACTACACACACCTTGACTTTGTCTTTGGTATAAATGCCACCAATGACGTCTACCAACCCATTGTGGACAAGATACGCCAGGATTTTATCACAAGAAAGATGCTGCGTAACAATCGTGCTTACATTCAACACCACATAGTGAATCGCCGCGCATAGTTCTATGGGCGGAGTCGGCGGACTAACGCGTAGTGCGGCTAAATTCTTTGCGCCTAAGCGATCGTTGATACGACAGGGTGTTGACATCCTAATAAAGAATAAAAAAGTATCCAGTCAACATTAACGCAATTTGATAAACAGTAAAACACAGATGAAACGATTTATTAAATGTGAGATTCACAATGTAGCGAAAATGAACAAAAGCGATAGATGGACAAAGTCTTGTTACTCAAAACCCATTTCGGGAAAGCAGTTTAATTAACAGAGGGAGATAAAGAGAGAAGGAAATAAGGAAAAATGATGAGGGACAGAAGTAAACAGACAGCAAAAGAGGAAAAAAAGTTAGTTATAGAAGCAACACATACCGATCCAATCTACTTAACTGTAGTTGAGAACTTTCAATTTTAAGCGTAGAAAGCACTATCAACAGTTTTTGGTTATACACTTACAGCCCACATTTTTATAGCTTCGCAAAAATCGATGCGCTAAAATCGGAGCAGAAGAGACCATTTACTGCTAAACTATATACAGAATGTACCATTACTAATAATAACTACATAACAACACACTAGATAATCAGATAATCAATAAATCAATACTTTTGGGGTTAGCACCCTGTTTCCCGGTGATGATATCAAGAAATGTAAGTAAGCATTCCACAACTGGATTAATAATACAGCACCTGTTTAAGCCGCTTTGAGAAGTTCATCCGACACAGTATTATGCAAATGTTTCTACACTTCAAAAAATACAATGTTAAAATATGAGTGGCAACCAAAAGTCAAATATTTCTGGATACCTGATCATTACATCTTAGTAATATCAACATATATAATTATTAGTTTAGGTGAAGCTCAGTAGTTCAATTTCCCACCACACATTGTGGACGGGGCGAGTTGTTCGTCGCAGAACCGCGTCGTTGCGACGAATTCGCCCCAAACTCCTTGAAGAAGCGGAAGCTGGAATGATACAGGATTTTAATCCGCCTCGAAGGATACAACATAAAACAGATCTGAGGAAGTATCATTTAGAGTAAATAACAATTTTATCTCGTTTGGTAACAAAACAGATGACATGTAACGCTAGAAAACCATTCACAATTTCAAACTGATTAATACTGTTAATAACTCGAAAGACCGACTTTCTATAATCCTCGGCATAGATGGTTGATATATTTATTTATATGATCTTATAAACTGATGTTCTTAAGCTGACGCGAGGTTGGTACAGATCTTCGTTGTCGTTGTCGTTTTTTTTTATGTTATTGTTCCATGGCTCACGTTTCGGCGACTTCGCCTTTCTCAGAGCCGTGATATTACGTGCAGGACCGTCCCACGTGTTGTTTTCGTGGTGTCGCGAGCAAAACACATTCCGGGGTCAAAATATCATTTTGAAATAGGGCGCCAGGTCACGCGTGATAGTGATTCACTCGTCTTTCCGGTTCATCTTTGGATTTTTGAAATTTATCCAAAACGCCTCAAGAGTTTTGCGCGTTGATGTTTTTGATTCCTGCGCTGGGATCCGCACATTCACTTCAAAATCATCGCCGTTGTGCTTTTGTGCCCTATGCGTACCTAGAGAGGTGTTTAAACGGATTTTACCTTTTCCATTTAGATGTTCTTTTATGCGGACACAAAGTGCTCTACCCGTTTACCCTATATATTACTCGCCGCATGCGTTACATAAGATCAAGTATATTATACCTAAACTCATGCAATCCCCGTCTCTCCCGTGAGGACAGATCATACAGTTTTCTGAGCTGCACAAACAATCATAGAGACGGTTTCGAACTAACTGGCGGCGTATGGTATTGGGTGGGATGTCAATAATCGTTACAGAATTTTCAAGACCACTTTTTCTTAAGCACTTTTTAATGGCTGATACTGTGATTTTTAATGATTAATACTGTAATTCGAGAGCACTTACAATCTTCGCACACCGCTATCCTTCCGTTCATACTTCCACGGATACAGCTTCTCGTCAGGTTCCCGCGGCAACGGCCCGTACACCAACATTTCCGCACCATCGTCATCCTTCAACGGCTCGTCCCTGAAAACCAATTATTTCGTTTTGCAAGAACAAACCGATTAATGGGTCTCAGTAGCGTTCAGGATAAAAGAAATAAAGCTTTCGACGTTGATCGATCCCTGAGGGATGCGCCATGCATTGGACGCTATTAAGCACCGTTTGGAGGTGATGGGATGCATATCTGGCCTTTACAATGACTGGTGGTGGCCTGCCGATATATCGAGCCCGTGCTGCTATCCTCCCAAAAAGTACCAACTTGCCGACTCCGGATGCATGGAAGGCTTGGTGGGCCATGAGCGAAAGGACCGATTCAACGTGTGCGTTGCAGTGCGCCTCCAACCATTGCGCCACACCCACCCCTGTGTGTTCAGTATAAAGCACGGGACCTATTGAAATAAAACTACTACTTATATACAGTTCATTCCATGCGTAAGGGAGCTTGGCGCTTTAATTTTTGAACGCCATAAAATGTTTAATCTAATTTCCTTTAGGATTCCACAGGCATGTCATGTCAAAAAGAATTGTAACCTTCGATGGCTTAAGCAAATAACGATAATTGTTCTTGCCTAAGCAAATCTTCTCGCTCACGATCTTTACGGCCAGGTCGAAGATTCTCCAGCTCTTCTTCGAGTTCCATCACTCGACCTTTCAGTACGTTCTTTTCTTGAAGTACCTCACGTAATTCAGCAAGTGTAAAGCGTGGTTCATCATCAACCTAAAACATATGAATACTAATTTTTCCAAGTTAAATAAAAGGATAACCCCATCGCTACATAGATCCATCGGATCACTTGAGCAACATTTTCATGAAACGAAATCATTTTGGCTTCCTCTCAAATTCTCGACGACGTTAGCAATTGACTATCAAACTTTTCGAGATATCAGAACGGAAATGGTAGCAATTCATATCGCAAATCGTACGTCTTCTAAAAATGAAATATTCTTTCTCCTTCATTTCAATGAGCTATATGATTACAATGGACAAATTATAAAGCGCTCAATTAGCCTTTAAATGCCGATTTTAAAGTAAAAAACAATTTAAATAAATGCTAAATTCGACTTTTCATTTATTTGAAAAAATCACTATATGGCTCAGATTCAATCACTTCTTCGATTGGATTCGTCGTTTCGCCTTTGTCATCCACGAAGGTTTTCGGATTCGTGCGTGGACTCGCTATCATGTTAAGATTCCTCGTTTTTCGCTAAAGTGTGTGAATTCTGGTCAAGTTGATTCTCTCTAGAACATCGAGATAGCCCGGTTAGAGTCTCGAGGCCTTCACAATATGCAGTTGTCCTGCCTTTGTAGATGGGAGAGAGCTGTCCTCAGAAAGTCCTGTATAAACGTGCCGACACAAGATGGATAGGGAGGCTTGTTGGCCTTGGGAGGAGTCGAACTATCGACCATTCGTGTATTTTTGCACGACATCTATAACAGCTGCGTCTTCCAATAATCCCATATAAAAAGAAACCCTAAAAATAGAGCGAATAAACTCAGGACTACCTGATTTGCCTGTTGCAGATCTTTACAGACTCTGTCGGTGTCGCTAAGTAAACGTCTAAGCTGTATGTTGGTTTCTTCAGTCTTTTCCAACCTAAAATATTCTTAATGTTGTTAAAAATAATGGTATAACCACACAGACATTGCCATTAGACATTATTACACACTGTTTTCAAAGTTTCAAAGCAATTCTTTGGTGGTACATCTTGTAATAGTTGCCAGAAACGACTTTCTCTTAACCTCGGCATTGGAATATGAATGTGTCGTTTTCTTGTTCAGCAATCGCGAGGTTTTTAAACAGCATACATTTACTTCCACAAAAATAATACACAATACAATACAACGCTAGCTGACGTTTCGGCAGTATCGCCTTCTTCAGAGCCTGGAAGGGCATACTGATATACAATCTACTAGGCCAAACGCTTCTCCAGACGAGGAGAACGACGAGCCCACGCGAAACACTTGGCCAAAACAAAATCCCGTTTATGTTGCCCATTATAAGCGATAAAGTAAGCGCAGCTATAAAACGATGCTTAAGAAGGGCAGGTCTAGAGGAATCGGTAGCGATAGTTGAAATACCACCGGCTACTCTACGTCGCCAATTAGTTCGCAACCGCCTGTATGACCGTCTATGTGAAACGACAAATTGCGTAATTTGCCCTCACGGCAGGGACGGTGATTGCATGAGTTCAGGTACGATATACCTGATCTCTTGTAATAATTGCGGAGATGAATATATTGGCGAAACGGGCAGACCTTTGTGTATCCGCATAAAAGAACACCTAGATGGCAAACGAAAACTAAGACGAAGTACCCCACTAGGCACGCATTGGATACAAAAACATAGCGGAGACGATTTTGAAGTAAAAGTCAATATCCTTGCACAGGAGTCCAAAACACCAGCGCGAAAACTCCTTGAGGCTTTTTGGATAAATGCCAAAACCCTACAACGAATAGCAGGGACGAGTGCCCGGAGGTCATACGCGACCTGATCTCGTACGTTCGCATCGATTTTTGATGTGGGATGGTGCAGTTGTCAACCATATGCGACTATAATCAGCTGTTCTAAACTTCCTCATTGGAAGTCACGAAAAAGCGGTGGGTTTTTTCGAGAAAGTGTTGATCACGTAATTACCAAGGAGTTTTTCGTCTTTTTGTAAGTGTTATTGCAGCGTTTGGCCTAGTAGATTGTATATCAGTATACCCTTCCAGGCTCTGAAGAAGGCGATACTGCCGAAACGTCAGCTAGTGTTGTATTGTATTGTGTTTTTCTATGGAAGTAAATGTATGCTGTTTAAAAACCTCGCGGTTGCTGAACAAGAAAACGGCAATTCTTTGGATGAAGAACTCTTCTTATGCTTAGTTAGTTCGTTCTATCATCGTCACTGAACGAGATGAAGTATGAAAAAGTTCGTTCCGCTATGTTAAAATGAACAAGATACATGCCGATGTGAAACCGAGTGAACTTGAAATGAAAAATTAATTAGTTAATTAATTAAATTGTAAACGATAGATTCAGAATTAGAGTTATATTAGGCACTTTTAGCAACTGAAGACTATTTGAAGGGAAAAGAGACCTTCGTATTATCTCCATTTTCTCCTCAACAATCATACGGCCCTGTTTTTGCAGCGATGTGTTCTTTCGCAGTAATTCTTCATTTTGTCGAATCAGCTTCTCGATTGAGTTTTGTAACTAAAAAAATTCTTTTCGTTGGATTTTTGCTATAAACAATAGGATGAATGAAGGAAAACATTCACGATTAATTCTCCGATTCACAAAATCTCCTGCCATGAGAAAAATAAGACACAGTAGATAAAAAGTTATACATTGTGATTTCGACTACAGCCTCAGCTTAACTGGGTGGAATGGCAATTTGTTCTCCGCAAACCAATGCCGTTGACGGGTGATTGCTGATAGTATTGCTAGACGCTGGAGAACAAAAACTGGAAGACAGAGCGAGGACCTCAGTAGTGCAATGCTTAACACGTGAGCATCCGGAAAAAGCAATCGCGGTTTCGAATCTGGCCTGGGGTTCGCGTTTTGCAAGTATGTCGGCATCGTTGTCGGTTGTAAAGGATAAAAATAAAAGACCAAGCTATCGGAGTTGATCAATCCAAGGGATGCGGCATTCAGTCGACTTTATTAAACACCATTAAAGGTGGGTGAATGCATATCTGGCCTATACATCGACTCGTGGTGGCTTATCGATGTATCGAGTCAGTGCTGATATCCTCCCAGACGTGTCTGGTACCAAGTTGCCGATCCGGAGGGATGTAAGGCCTGATGGACCTGGACGCGGGGATCGATCCTACGTGTATCGCAGGGCACCTCCGACCTTTGTGCCACACGTATGTCTTTTTTGGTTGTATTTCACATAAACGTTGCGATGAAAAAAAATAACAGACAGTAGGAAAAAGCTGAACATCAAACAGTTGAGAGGGATTGCGTCATTCTGTAGGTCGGTCGCATTACTGAAGTAGTAAATTCATACCAATACTTTCCTGCTTAACAAAAAATCACCTAATAAATGCTGCTAAATTTAATATTACCAATAGTATCACTACAAAAAGCAAGTTTTGTTTACCGAAAAAAAACCCATGGAGCGTTGTACAATGAAGCGGTATTAACAAACAAACTAATAGAAAGAAGAAGCTCTCCCTGCCAGGAAGCTCTTGTTAGACCAAAGCTGACAATAATCTAAAGGGATGCACAAAAAACCTACGTTTTCAACTTCACATGCATACTGTTCCACATCATGCTGTAACGCTTTGATTTCTTCCTTTTGCTTATGTGACATCTCTTTCAACTCAAACATAAGCCTGATTTCTTCCTCACGCACTTAAAAAAACAACCGAAATGAAGAATGGAAGAAACAATGAACAAGGAACAAAAACAGAAACAAAAGTTGCAACATGTGCTAATCTCGAGCATATGAGGAGCACCATTGAAATGGACTGATATTAGATATAAACGATAGCAATTTTTATAGAATATCAGTTTATGCCTTAATTTTCTATCGTAATAACAAGGTAAGGAGGCCGATAGCACAGTGGTAGTGATATCCGTCAACACAAGCATGGTGCTAGTTCGATTACGCCCCAGGCCAACCAAGCCTCCCATCCCTCCAGGGTCGGAAAACTGGTACCGGACTTGTCCGGGACCTGGGGCTTATTCGCTGAAAAATACTGCATACACGAGTAAAGATAATTTGTATGACTACAAGTGGGTGCAAATAACAACTCAAAGAAATTAAACAGTGGTGCAAACTCGTGATTCCTTTAATATGAATTACCCCACACTTTATTCATGAATTGGCGACAAGTAGATTGATACGTATAGAATAAAGAAAAAGGTAAAAAAAAATAACAAAAGAGGGAAAATAGAGCTAGTCGTGTAAAAGTACTTACAGGCTGCGGTCGTAGGACTCTCGGCTGCCGACGGTAGCGACGAGACTGTCGTACTTAAGGTCTTATTCTCGGACATTAGGGTTTTTACCATCAACCGTAACTCGTTGATATCCTTTTTGTACGTCTCCTCGACCTGATCGAGTTCCTGTAATTGTGACTGTTCGTAAGAAACAGATGATGTAATTGTGACTATGCGATTATTTCTACATAGCCATCCGAAAGAGCTTGAAAACCTTGAAAAAAAAACCATAGAAAAAAAAGCATAACAAAAACATAACATCAAGCAAAAATCAGATCTCTGCAAAGAAAAAAGTACTTTCTGCAATTCATTTGGATTAATGAATCTCTACAAAAGGCTGCAAACAATAGAACATCAAATTTTGTAAGCAGGAATTTTTACACAATGGTCTTCTCACTTAAAAAAGAAACATGTGAAATACAATCAAAATGATGCTGAGATGTTTGCAAAACTCCGAACCGCAGGTGTATGTGCATGGGAACGAACGCGCTATTACCCTTTCCGAGGGCTAGCGCGTTCACGACCACACCATGCGGTTTTTTCGTTTCGCCTGTCTCTCAGCTAGTTCTACCGATCAGAACCATCAGCAAACACCTGTCAACGTGATTGACCTGGATAGCACAAACTGGCATTAACACAATTAAAATGAGACTATAGTCGAAACCATACTGCCATTTATTTCATGTAATACCCTGCCGTAAAAAAAATTGTAGCAGGCAGTAGATAAAAACTTTGCAAGAGAAAATTTTAGGAAAAAGCAACTGATAAGTAAATGCTGCTTTTTTACAAATCTTTTCCAACCACTTGGAAAAACACAAGGAATTTGTACTGCCGTACAATTTTGTCTCAGCAAAAGAACGATTTTGTACTCTTAGTGTTATTTTAAAGTGTTCACAAGTTGACCGCATAAGGAAATTACTACGGTAACCAAGCAACCTCCTCGAATTTAGCCGTCTGCAAATGCCGTGTCTGTTTCTCATGTTCAAGTCGTTCTACGGTCTTTTGCAATGTCAGTATTTCTTCGTTTTCCCGTTCATTGTTATTTGCAAGAGATTCCAACGTTTCCAAAGCAGATATCACCTAAAATAAACATGATCTGGAAGTTTTTTCTGTTCATAATGAATAATGTTGGGTGAAACTTCGTTCATTTTTGTCTTCATTCTTTTCCTCTCAATAGAGCTACCTAAATGTAGGTAATTACTCCCAACAAAGGAAAGCCAGTTGACAAAGTCCATTTTTAAACTAGCAAGGAAGATTTGAAACCCATTTATCAAACAAACAATAATTCAATCACAGGTTTAACTTATTATTTACTGCCTACTCTTTTTAACAACAGGGTATATTGCGAAATATGACTTCAATGGTACTGAGATATTTGCAAAACTCCGGACCCCAGGTGTCTACCTTAATTCCCCACCATAGACACCTGCGGTCCGAAGTTTTGCAAATATCTCAGCATCATTGAAATCATTCAATCAGTATATGTATATACATTTAGAAATGTATATGAAGAATAAAGGGATGAAGCACTCGGCGTTCATCAACCTCTGAAGAATGCACCACGCATTCAACTTCATCAAGCATTATTAGGTATGCTTGAATGCACATCTGGCTTGTACAATGAAACGTGGTGGCCTGCTGGTGTATCGAGTCATTGCTCCTACTCTCCCGGACAGATCTGGTACCAATCCAAAGAGCCTAAGGAGCTGGAAGGCTTGGTAGGTATCGGGTGCAGGAAGTAACCCATGTGTATTGCAGGGCACCTCTAATAACTGCATTACAGGCCTCCTAGAAATATATACATTAGTATATATACATATATATATATATATATGTATATATATATACATATATCTGAGTCCAATATTTTTAACTGTAACTCCAACCATATTTCCACTCCTGAAAACATTGAGAGGAGGACATCAGTACAAATCTGATCTAAAACTAGTTGTGGAACTATGGTTTAAAATGCTTGTTTAATCTCACACGAAATGCATCCGTCGTCCATCGTTACTCAGAATCAGAACTGATGATAAAAACATTAGGAAGAGAACGAAATGTCTCACAAAACTCTAATCTGAGGCAATTCAACTTTGGTGAACAAAATATTGGCACTAAAATCTCGACTATCAGTTGCCAAGTTCCAAAATTATCACGTTGTTTATCAAAAGTCCGATGTAGCAGTCCACTCCCTGGAATTGACGACTCCAAGGTAACTTTTTCTTCTCTTCAGAAATTTTTTAAAAAATTATCCTATGGTGGTAGAAATGGTGCAGCCACAGTAGTACACGAGAGAATACTTACTTCATGGGACTCCTAAAATTCTTCCATTCATAAATGGATACTTTCTTAAATGATTTGTCTTCCTCTGAACACTCTCTGGCTACACATACATTTTCAGAGCAGCAGATCAATGGAAAAAACCGGCGCTACCCCAGCGTACTGTAGCGTTCGACTCATTTCCTTTCGATGTCAAGAAAGTTCGATCCGTTGTATTCGTCATATAATCGTTTCAAAAGCTTTTTTTAAACTCAATTACAGAATCCAAAAATACCGCCTCAAAACTAATTAGTGCCACAAAAACTGGTCTTCAGCACCATACTCTTTAGTTCAACCTTGGACTTAAGATCGTATACTGCTGACTACCAATTCCGAGATTGCCACAACAATACCACAGTCGATGAGGGCCTGTCGCATCTATGGTCCCCAAGAAATCCCTGTATGTTATTTCTATACTCTGTGCCATAAAATTCATGAAAACTAAAGCAAAATGGTGTCAAGGAAACACCCCCTTCACATCTACAACAACAAAACATTCTGTTTACGTCACCGTTCATGGATTTTTCTATGCAACGAAACGAGCGAATGTTAGGCAAACGAATGAATGATGGCAAGGCTGAGGAAACATCACTCATGTACACAACTGTTCATGTATGTGACCTTACTGGAAACGATTACGTCTGGAATTAGAGCGAGATGAGTGAATGATGACTGACTTGACGAGGAAGAAAGTCGAAAACTGAGGCCAGAAAATGATTAAAGGGTTTCGAACATAGCAACGTCTGATCGATGAAAACAATAACCAAATCTTGAGAAAGAAAATCTCATTTCATTTTAGAGAAGGAAGAAAACAATCGTTTTTGTTTCATAGTCGGAAAAAGCGGAGAAGAATACGACAAAATATCCTAGGCACGAGAACAGTTCTGTAAAATTCTGAGTAGAAATTCCCAATCATACTGGCGCCTTATCACTCCAGAATACTTCGAAGAAAAGAACAATTCAATGATTTCACTAATAACTTCCTCGTAAAAAAGTGTACAATGAAACTTAACAAACAACACGACAAGATGGCACAGAACGAAGTTATTCGAACTGCCCTCGCTGCGTTACCATATATATGAAGGAACTGCTTATATATCATTTATAAATTTAGTTTTTAGGAGCAGCTACGGATAACCTTAAACAGAAGAATGTATGATTATTACTTTGCTTTCTTAAAAAACATCTTATTAGAACCTATGAAGATACAAATGCGTCAGTTACCGTACTGTAAAGTCCCGAGAATCAGTTCAAGAGAACAAAAAATTGTTAGTGGTTTTCTAATGAGGCCGATTTCCTGCTTACGACATGTTTTACGCCGAAGTTCTACTAACTACTGGCCTCCCAACGGTTTACCGCCTCATCGTGGCTGACAAGTGCTCCTGGGTGTCGGACTGCGATGTACAGCGGAGGGATTCGTCCCTCCAGCAAGGTCTCCCAAGCTGAGGAGTCCGGCTTTTCCATCGAGAAGCCTAGCTAGTAGTAAAGCTAAGACCAATACCAGAATCCATCACCGTCCTGGTATCAAAGTCGTATGGTGGAGAATCTCCCTCTGATCCACAAGGGCTGCGACTGTCCGTGGTGGTGAAGACCTGGAGCAGACTTTGGCCAGGTTGACCTCGAGATTCCAGGGAACCACAATGGGTTAACCAGCAAGTCTCCGAAAAATAGTGATTATGCTAGAGCCCGCACAACCAGTGAGGACGGGCCGTTCAAGTATCAAGTATCAAGGTTCTACTGACAAATAAAACTAGCTAACCTTTGGCATAATCGCTCGAACACAATCATTTCCATGAAGTTCGATAAGCTTCTCGAAATCTTTCCCTATTGAGGCGGCCAAATCATAGACGTCAACCACCTGGAGAAAGAAATAACTTTGAGTTCCGATTTTTTACTCCAAACATTGAGTCGAAAACAATATTGTTATTTCCTCTGTAAAGCATTGTCACTTATTCAGATTGCGCTTCTATTTTCAACCTATTTAATGACGATGGTCGTTAATCAGTCGCATTTTTCTTCCTATAAAGTCTTAGCCGACTTTTCTAGCTACTCTTTTAAAAATTTTCTTTGGGGTACATTTCTGGCATGATCACGAAAAAACGGTCCAGCCATTTCCCTCATCGATTCACTTAATGTGGTAACGCATGATCTTGGAAGAAATAAAACATCGTTTACTGGTTGCGTACGCAGATATTTGTAAACCGAGCATTTTTAAACCGTGCAGATCCTAGCACATTTTCCCTTTAACTGTTATGTTGGCGCTTCAGAAACAATTCTTTTCGCCTGGAACTCCCATTGAGCCGTGCTACGACGTTCTTAAGTCATTATCACAGATTGCTATCGATTAAAGAGAGATTTTACTTGGCAGCAATCTAATCGTAAAGTAGAAAACAGCTCTCCAGTCCACATGAAACAGCGACTGCCAGTGGTGAAGATGCGAAAAGGGTCTAACGGCTATCTCGAAACTCCAGGGAAAACTCTTGCCTGAACAAAAAGGTACGGAAATTACCATTCAAATGAAGATTATGCTGGAGCCTGCATGACTCTTCGTGAGTACGAGCTGTTTAGTATTCAATAATCTTTATGCCAACAATCATTAAAAGCTTCAATGTTTCCGTCATGGAAAGATAGATGAAGTGTTAGCCGTTGTATATAAAGTCGTGGAACGAGCTAGATTACATGCTTCAAAAAAAAAGGACGCTTGATGATGGTGTCATCTTAGATGGCAAGATCAAAGAAATGCCCAGACTGTTGGAAATTACCTGAAGCCGCGCTGATTCGTCGGATCGACCGGGTACTGAAAAATGGGACCATAAAAAAGCAACGTTGAACTGATTTTTATGGAATTCATGTTCAAGTCCTACTCAGTTCATCATAATCAACGCATTCGTTTTCTCAATTGATTCAACATTAAACATGATATCCTTTAAAACATGTTGGATACGGTTGGTAGTTTTTCATGCATAAAAAAACTAAAGAAAAAATAGAAACGCTGAAGAATGACACACTTCATAGAAAGCCCAATAAGGACCACACGCTTCTCTGCACTGGAGGAAATTTTCCGCAACATAACGTAAAAGACTAAGTTTAAGTATTCGCTAAGGAAACCTAAGACTCCATGAAAATTTACGAACGGAAGAAAAAATGTAGGGAGGTGGGGTATTTTCGTTCTAAATTCGAAATTTCTCTAAATAAATGGCCACTATATCTCTCGATAAAAGCATCTACCCAATATGAACTTAGCTCAAAGCCAAGTCTGTTGACCACACACCCCAAATGTTTTCAAACCTACTAGCAGCAGTTTTGAAAAACTCAGAGATCAACATAGATTCGGACGATTTCCAAAGGTGAGCGTATTGAACGTGATTTACAACGAAAGCTCCAAAATTTCTCTAACGTATTCACCGTATATTCTGTTCTAACGAAAGAATGCTCTAGACATTATGTTAACATATAAAACTCATCACATTGTCGAGCCTAATAGCAAAAATGCGCCAATTCAAAACGGAATATTTTCGTAGCCGAGAACCAAATTCTAATTTATCATTATGGAATTCCAATGCAATGGAAATTAGAGTAGCATGGCCCGACAAAGCTAATTTCTCACCAATGCTATTGAATAACTAAACTCAAATCGAAAATAGTCTACGAACACAATGAACGGGTTTGGCAGCTTCAGCAACCGTAAAAATATAACCATGACGGACGTACCACCTTAGATATGAGTTCTTAATTTAACACGTTCTTGTTTTCCAAACTTTGCTGTGAAACGTTTACGATCTCCAATGAACTTCGAAAAAATTCATGGTAACGGGTGGACTCTTCTACAGGTTAAAAATTATGGGAAACACACTATTTTGGAGCAAATATCCAGAATATTTACATAGAATAAGCTATTCTTCATTAAATCGGAAAACGAATTGGCAACGACTGAAGTCCGAATCGTCAGTTCATTTTCTATCAAAGTCTTGACCTGTCATATTCTTAGCCGTTGTGAGTCCTAACATGAATAAACCTAATGAATTAAAGTACACTAGCCTTAAGTAAGACAATGATATGATAATAATTCAATTCAGAATTGATGGATGGAAAAAAGAACTGACATCTCATTCACAAGATGTTGAGATAATTGAGCCCAAACCCGAATTCTTAGCAATTTTGGCAATGTCATGTTGACTTACAAGAAAACACCTAGAAAAAACGCTTCTAATCTCCCAACAAGTAACAGAAACCTTAGACAATAATCTAGTAATCTTAATCCTTTTCACATCGTCTAAAGTTCAATACGACTTGTTGAGATTAACTGATTAGCCACAAACTTTTTCTATTCCTCTTTTGTCTCCCCAGACGACCATTTTTAGTATTGGTAAAACTACAAAGTGAAAAGACGTATAGCATATCCCATCTTCCATTTATGAAAAGATCAGGACGATTAGTTGAAAACGATAGCTGAGGAGTCCCCAGTTGGAGGTCTTACTTAGCCAGAAACTTGCAGATTTGGGAGATGCGTTCCTTGGCTGTGCTGCGTCGTATTGATTTATATCATATTCAAGAGCTTCTTAAACATGCAATGAATTCTAAAAAAGATGGAATATTGGTTTACATGATACTCGTTAAAAAACAGTATAGGCAATATTTCTCGACTGGATTAACAAATAGCATTCGCAGCATGTTGCAAACTTGCAAACGTCTAGTACCCTCCAACTGCTGCCTATGTTGCTGAACAGTTTTGAACTCTACTAAAAACTAAAATAAGCCTCAACCTTAAGATAACCTAGCCGCGATTTTAAGGAAATCCTATTCCGAACTATTTTTATGTTAGAATTAAAAATTTTTTCACCACTAAAATCAAAAATAATGCCAATACAACGACAGATGTAATGGACTGCACAGGGTTTGCGGCATTGGATTGCTGAGTTGGAGAAGAGAAAGAGGAAACAGACTTAGAAAAAGATGGACTGCGATATGCAGCAAAAATCAATAAATCATTAGGTAACATTAATTAAGCGAGCAGCTTACCGTAATATGACGAGACGGACTTTGTGGTGAGGAAACTCGTTGAGTGGTGGTCATTCGGCGATGATAATCACAGTGCGATTTTTCACAACCTTCTGCAATGTACACTTCATAGTTTTGAACTAATGGTAACGAAAGCATCGTCGAATCAATACGATCAATAATCCTAGTCGATGTTCGCTGTCCGGCTACGATTCAGAGACGAATGTTCACTGGATTAGATGACAAACAGGGCGCAGTAGGTAGGAATGTCGGCGCTATTCACCACAAATAACACGAACTGTTCAGCTGCAGTGATGAGTCAGCCAGAATACTTGATTGTTTTGGTGAACAGTTATTTAAAGGTGACAGTAACAGTGGAGAATAGGTGCCAGTCCAGTTTTGGTATGAATAGGGAGTGAGTCGGTTTCACTAGGCCTGTGATGATCAATTCGTATGAATTCTGTGTCGAATTCGAAACACTGACGTTGCCGGTGGTTAGGGCGGCTCGAAAAACGGATGATGAGAGCCAGGGGCGGTACTAAACAGCCTTCGCATGGCTGGTTGATCAATGGCAACCAGCACACTGAATTTTGATACACAGCAAGGACCACTCTGTTAACAAAGTTGGTGGAAATTGCAAAAAAAAATACCACTGCAGGTGAGAACAGCACCGGTCAATAGTCAAAATTTTATTATTTTGATGGGGCGGTACCTATGGGGGTGAATAACTACTGCAATGAATCCAAGAGGTTGTGACGGTGCTCAATTCTAATGAAGAAAACGGAAAGAGACCTTGATTTCCATTAGATAGAGTGCTTTGCATCTCAAGCGTTTCACAATGAACGCTAAGCATTCCGACGTGCTTGAAAGCTTTGTAATATAGGTGCCTTTCCTAGCAAATTCCCAACAATAGCCTAGAAGTCATTTTTTCAAATAAATGCAACTGAAAAAAAGCCTACACAGAGGCTAGAAAACCTCTTACGTGGGTCTGAGAAGGGTTACAACGAGATTTAGGTAATTTACTACGGCTAAGACGAGTTTGCACAGAGGTCTACATAAGCGAATGTCTTCACACCATTTTGTATAATATTTTTTTATTTTTTATATAACCCGTCCTACTGTGCGGATCCCAGTATATCTCACATTCGAGTAGAACGCTCGTCGAGTTGATTCTCCCTGGTGTCCTGGAGATAGCCGGATTGGAGCGCTTCCAATTGGATTGCAGAGAGTGGTTTTTTCCCCGGACAAGTCCGGTACCAATTTCCCGATTCCGGAGGGATGAGAGGCTTGGTTGGGCAGCAGTGGAATCGAACTAGCGCGACGCTCGTAATGACCGTCGTCACTACCACTGTGCTATCTGCCCCATCTTCAAATAATATTAAAAACACATAACAAATATGTATAACCTTTCACATGATAGAGATATCAGGTCTATAACTATAGATTTTATAAAACTCGATAACCTTGAAAAGGAGACTATCCATGTGGTCGCCAACAATAGACCAGCCAATAAGGTTGAACAAGGAGATTAAATGTAGAATAATACTAGTAATACTGGAGTCTCACTGATAACATCACGGTTCTGAGGAAGGCGAAAGGCGGAACGGAAGCGGATAAACCACTTTGTGCCCGCATAAAAGAACATCTAGATGGTAAAGCTAAAATTCGTCAAAACACTGCTCTAAGTACGCATGGGGCAAAAAAACACAATGGCGATGATTTTGAAGTGACTGTCGGGATCCTAGCGCAGGAATCGAAAACATCAACGCGCAAATTTATCCCTCTTGAGGGATAAATTTCAAAAATCCAAAGATGAACCGGAAAGACGAAAACCTCACTATCACACATGAACTGGCGCGCATTTCAAAATGATATTTTAACCCCTGGGTGTGCCTCGCTCGCGACCCCACGTGAGCAAAGCGTGGGCCAGTACCATTCGTAACATCACTGTAAGAAACCTTTTGATCAATATGGCGTCTATTTAGAAGTTTGATCCTCGTTCACACTACAGCCTTTTTCCACCTAATAATTATATTATTCATATATAAAATACGTCCTGAGGAAGGCGAAGTCGCCGAAACGTCAGCCATCGACCAACGACACCAACAGCAACGACAACGACAACGAAGACCTATGCCAACCTCGCATCAGCTAAAGATTAGTTTATAACATTATACAAATAAATATTGGTAATCCATAAAATTAATGATCTTAAATTTAGACAGCAATCTTTAACGTCGAGAAGAAAAGAGTTAAAAACATTTCGGAATTGGAATGATTCTCTTTAGAAAGGGAAACCCGACAGCAGTAATAAGAACATCTCTTCCAATAAAAACAGACGTCTTTTGTTTGTTTTTTGTTCCGACATGTAATCAACTTTTCAGTGACGGCATGTTGCTGAAATTGTGAACCACTTGCAGTAGCTGTTGTTCAGAGAGCGGAACGGGTAAAAGAGAGAGAGAGAAGAAAAACGAAAAAACAACATACTGGTTAAGACCAGATATATTCACTGTGTGATTCCAGCAACCGACAGACTACCTCTTACACATTTACATATAATGAATTTTTACCTACATTCCACAGGTCTCGCTGATCATACTAAAATATTTCCATCTCCATTTTATGACGAACATCCTCAGTCTATGTCACCAAAAGCTTCCGAATTTTAGTGGATCGCTTTCGGACGCAATGTGAAGTGTTTTCCTTCACAAACGCTCATATGTGTTTACTGCTACAAGTATCT